GGCAATTTTGCGGAATCCGCAATAAAATGTGTGGAATCCCGACCCAGTTTGTGGAATCCATGAATCAATAATAAAATATTTGTTTAGTCAATATGAGCTAACGCGGAATCTGCAACTGTAAGTGGAATCCGCAAATTGTAAGCGGAATACTCAAATTGTGAGCGGATTCCGCAAATTGTAAGCGGAATCCGCATAATTTTGTGGAATTCACTTACATTTGCGGAATCCGCTTACATGTGCGGACTCTGGAACTACTATTTATATTTGCTCGTTGGGGGAAATTACGTTACAGCTATTTGTATGCGGAATCCACTAAAATTTTGTAAGTGGAATCCAGTTACATTTTGAAACATGTTAAAATACTTGTCTCTGGAATCCGGGAAGAAACAGACACAAAACTGTGCGCCTATCCAGTGAACAGTTTGGCCTCGTAATGCGGAGAAATCAAGCAACCTGAATGGTTGAAACTTAAAAAACTAATATCGTGTTTGTTATTTATGGAGCAACGTCTGAAATTTTCGAAATTGTCGGACGTCTTAAATTTTCGAAATACTCCTGACCTTGAGACAGTCAAAGACTGTTGAAGTTTCAAATAAATTTCAATCAGTAGCGATCTGACGTGCAATTTTTCAATAGAAAAGCACACATAAATCGGCAATAAAAAGACAAACACAAAACTTGAAAGAAAAATATCTAATAGGTTTCAGCTTGAAGGTCAGAATTGCTAGAAACTTTAGGACGTTCGATAAATTTTTCAAAAGCTATATTCATAGTATTTGCAGAATATAAGTGATTGTGTTCCTTCTTTTATCAAACATTGGCGGATATCACTGCTATCGTATCCTCTGACTCCGAAAACGAACCTCCGAGAACGCCATCTACACACGTGAGTGGATATTTCCGGGCAACTGTAAACTCAGAAAAAGAGAGAAACATTGGTAAATTCGCATAGTTTAGAGAAAATGGGGTACTTTATTGTCAACCAAGTGATCAAAAATTGATCATGTAAGGCAGAACGTTCTACAAGAACATAATAAAACGAAGAGGGATTTAGCTAAATTACGAACTCAAAACAAAAGTTCAAAAAAATTTGACTACTTTTTGATTACCAAATCAGGCTCAATTGAAAAACAAAAACTGCTTAGCGACTGGGTGAGCGACTGTGCAGCATCACGCCTTAAATTAAATTTTAGTAACAAATAAAAACGCAAACTTGTAAGTTTTTGAAAATGTAAGTTCGGGAGGAAGTGCAATACCGGTACAACGTGGACTGGCACCTGACTCGAATTAATGTCAAATTTACTTAACCAATGAACGAAAAAATGAAGCAGTTTTTTGCCGGAAAAAAACTATTTTCTATAACGAAACCTTTAGTATGAGCAGAGAATCATTTGCGCAATGATGGTTGCTATTATCTCACCAACTTATCAGTTAGCTTATACTAATAATTTTTGAAACACTTTTGCCATTTCAAAATCTAGCTAGCAGATTGTGAAGTTTCCTACCGAGTATTTTGAAAAAAAAGTAATCAACGGTGTCTCGACTTTGCCAACTAATTTTCGAGACCAGACGCAAGAAAGTACAGGTGTGGCGGATTTTTGGAAGAGCTAAAAAGGCAAATAAATAAATACTGTCAAGACAAGTTTCAAATGGAGAGACGAGTTTATGCGATGCGATATAATAGGGTAGCAAATATCTAAAGACACAACTAGGATTCTTGCAAGTGAACGAAGTCGATCAAGTATCCGATGCCCTGAACTATCGAAATTCTGATTTGAATTATACAAATCTTTGATTGAATGCTCGTATATTGCAAAGAAGCTGCTCTAGTCACTTCTCTTTCCAAGTCAACAATTTTGATCTTTCCTTTCAATACTAAAACCCAGATGATTCACTCAAAAAAATTTTGTGTGGCCTTACCGAAACTTTTATTTCAGAGAAAAAACGCCTGCTGAAAGTCAACAACGCAAAAGCTGAGAAAAAAATCCCCGAAAATTTTGGAGAGTTTTGCTTCCACTGTTTACTTTTTCACCTTTTTTGAAGCTTCGAGCGTCCGAGAAGCCTAATTCAACCAAAAAAAAAACAAAAAGAAAAAAAGTTACAGACGGTGATAATCATGCTTACCGACATCTGATTCTATCATTTTTATACAATATTAATGACTCAAAGCCGTGTTTTGCGCTTACTGAACTAGAGATAGATTGTGTTCGCGATTTTTGGGAAAACTGGGGCGCACAATCTTCACATAAATATGTAATTGCATTCAAATTTGAATTTATGATATTACAAATGCAACAACTGTGCGAGAAACAGCTGATTTAGCAAAACTTTTGAGCCAAAAACTCGAACGAATTGAAAATAAGACTGATAAACAGTTGTTACTTGCTGTTGTTTGAAAGATTAGATATTTGAAATTGAAGATAATCATTAGATGAAAACAATAAGAAACTATTTCGATAAAAAAACTGATAAAGAAAAAAATCCTAATAAATGCTCGAAAACTATGATTAAATCTTGAAACCAAACAACTTGCATATCCAACAAAAAATGTTGGGGCGAAATGCTCAAAGAAAAAAAAACGAAAAACAAACGTTCAAATATGATTGCAAAATTACAAACAATTGCCACAAAAATTCACCAGCCGAAAATCTGAAAAAAAACTATAAGCAAAAACAGCTATTGCATCAAAGAACTATCAATTATGAATTTTATTCGCAACCAAAAGAGAGCTAGAAATTTAAAAAAAAATAACCATGAAGCAAGCCAATTATGACGCATTAGCAGTACCAACCAATTTGAAAAAAAAATACCAACTAACATGCCTCAATTTAAAGAGCGGACGCATTTCAGCCAGTATACGAAAAATTTCAATGAAGTCATCCGACCCTGCCCAGGTTCGAACCCTCTCATTTTGTTGCGGATCTCCTTCCATACCTCTACGCTACAGATCCATGACACCTTGAAGCTAAAGTGATATTTGTAATATAATATTCTGTGTTAATAGCCTTAGCATTGACTGTACTTAATAGCTGCTTATTGATCAAAATGAACTTTCAAAATGAACACTTTTATTCGCGACTTAGGTTGGAAAAAAAAGATAATTCATACTAACACACAAGCTTCAAACTATCACACAATTCATACGTGCACAAAAAACGCAAGCGAAGGAAAAACAAACACGAAGTTTTTTTCACAAATTTCAGCCAGAAAGAACCTCACTCCTGGATCCCGCTTAAAATTTACCGCCATGTTTTTAATGATAAAACAGTCCAGTCAATCTTGCAAAAAATCTGGAAGTTTAACAATTTTTTTGACATATGGAAACAATACGTTAAGCCAACAAAGTCAATCGATTTCAAAAAAAGTGCTCAAACCTAAAATACACCTAACTAATCAAAACTTAAAATAGTTTCACACACTTGCAGAACAAAAACATAGCCAACTGATAGTTGGAACCGAGTAGTGAACGCAAGAAAACTGAGGAAAACCGACTTGTTTGTTCAAAAATCTTCAGTTTGCTAATTTTGCAGAAAAAAAAACAGATGGCTTTAAAGCAATTTGATTTTGTAGAACAATTTATGAAGCACACTTTTTTGTTAAAGTTAACCCAATTTGAGAAAACTAGATCAATAGATAAAACTTTTATTTCGCTGAGAAATCTGAAAATTAATTTCAATGTTTGAAATTAGAAGTCGATCATGACCTTCGATAGTGGAGTTTGCCGTCATTTTAACAAAAGAATTGAAGTGAACAACTTGAAAAGTAATCAAAAATCAAATGATGAAAAATCAAAATTGAGCGTGATTAGAATTAAGACTTTTTCCTGAAAAAAAAATAGCAAGACCTATATAAGAGTATTCACTACGTTCATTACTCTTAAAAAAAATCAGAAACCATGGTTAAAAAATCAGAAACCTTTCTTGCCGGGTAATAAATTCTGAAATTTTCAGTAGATTTTTTAGTACTTTTTTCTTCATTTTCTTGAGGGTAAATATATTCATGGTTATCTGGCTGGTCTTTATAGGCGTCAAAATTTTCATGCATCCAAAAAAAATTGAAACTTTATTGCAAAAACATTCCAGCAAAAAACTCAAAAAATTTTATTTTTAACAGAAAATTTTGACGCCTATAAAAACTAGAAAACCATGAGCTATATTTACTCTCAAGAAAATGAAAACAAGTATTCGAAAAATCAACCAAAAAAAATTACAGAAATAATAACTCGGCCAGTAAGCCACAAAAATTCGGTCGAAATCAAAAAGGCAGCCAAAAAAATCAACTTTCATCTAGAAAATTTTTCAGTTGTAAAACAATTATGAATTCAGTTATTGAAGCCAGCAGTTGAATTACAACTGTTAGACGTGCAAGTAGAAATATTGAAATGGTTAGAAAAAGAAATGCATTTGGAGATGACCAAACTTCAGTCATCCTGTGGACAAAGTTGTTTACAGAAAAAAGTCTAGTACCCGATTGCAATACCCTTCCTTATCGCGATACTAATATACTATGCTAATATATCAAGTTGACCTGAACTTATTGTGCTTTGGTTTTAAGCTAGAGACCACTTGTACGGGGCTAGGACTTTTAGCATACCGGTGTTATAGCAGATTGGCCTTTTAGCAGACAAATTAACAAGCCAGCACACGATGATTTAAGAGGCGATACTATCAAGTAAGCGTCCGCTTGCTTCGCTGCGATCACATCTGGCATTATGCTCGATAATCAGTGTTTTCGATTAGTTCTAAAAATTTTGTTTTTGAATTGATAGGTTTTTGTTGACTAACAGTTAGATTGTTGACTAACGACGAATTTTTCGTAAGGGAATTTCAATCCCCGATGCAGCATATCTTCATGTCGGTCAATCAATTATGCTTCAGCTGTACTACATTGGTCTGCTACAAGACCCACTTTTCACTTTCTATGCCAAAAGGCTGGTCAGCTAGAAGACCAGTCCCTCACTATTACAACTTCTTGAACAAAATTCGTGCAATTATTAAACCTTGCAGCAACACAAATAAAGTAAAATTCAAAACATAAATATTGAATCCAATTTACATTGAACAATTGATAATTGTCCGTTTAATAAATTAACTGCTATAATCTTCATATACTGGTATGAGAACTACAATCACGAATTCCAAGTTTCGGTAAACGTCTTTTTCATTTCTTCAAAGAGCTCTTTGTTCTTCAGCACCTCAAGAGCTGTATAAGCCAAACCGTCAGCTGAGTCCATCGCACTTACAAATGAGTCGTCTGATTTCGCCGCCTCTGCAAAAGGGACCGAATGACCCGGTGCGTTGTTGCAGGGGATTCTAAACCACGGGTGGATGGCGGGAACAACCCGGGATACGTCGCCCATGTCGGTGCTGCCTCGGAAGGGTCTTTCGGTTTTGGGTGGGAACTTATAGCCAAGTGCTTCCATTCTCTCCTCGTATATGCGACCCAGTACCGGGTTCTGAACTACGCTGTCGTACGCGACACTTTGCTGTTAACGCATAGAGTTAAAAGCACAGCACAAACTCAGGTGTTCATCGAAAGCAGGAAAGGGTGGTACCTCACTTTTAAAGCAAAATCATGCATCAACAAGGAGCAGAGATAACCAATAGCCAAAAAATACATGAAGATTAATGAACAGCTAATAAAATAAATTGAACGTATCTTTGATTCGCGCTAAGAAACGTCAAATTTCTGCAGTTTATAACAAAGAGCAGTCGCATTTGAACGCAAGATTTGCAACTCATAAAAGTACTGTCACAAAGCCCAACTACGGGGCTAGGAATTTCAAATTGAGAAACTTTTCAAATTTAAGTTTTCCACAAACAAAACTTCAAAAGCCACAAAAAAATTTAATATCTCGAATCTTGAGCAATCATATTTGGAGGCAAGATTCGCAACCCCTGCAAGTACTTTGACAGCCCCCAACTGAAGGGTTAGGAATTTCAAATTTTGAAAAAAAAATTAAATTTAAGTTTTTGCAGTTTTTTGAAAAATAACAAAAAACGTCATATCTGGAAAACAACAGATTTGAGCATTCATATTATTTGGGGCACGATTTACAACCTCTAAGAACCTTAGAATACTCTGACAGCCCCCACCACCGAGTTGGGAACTCCGAAATTTGAAGAAAAAAATTAAAAATAAATTTTCTGAAAACTTTTTGAAAAAAATCACTAAAAACGTCATAACTCGAAAACTACAAGGATTTGAGCTGTCATATTCAGAGCCAAGAATCGCAACTCCTGAGAGTACCCTCAAAGAATCCAACTACAGGATTGAAATCTTCACAGTTTTGCAATTGTTTTCAATCCAAGTTTTATGAAAATTTTTGAAAAAATCAATAAAAAAAACGTCATATCTGGAAAAATACCAAAATTTGAGAAGTGAGATTTGAAGGCAAGATGCGAAACCACTGAGAGTATCCTAGCAGCCTCTAACTACCGGGTTAAGAATTTCAAACTTTCAGAAATTTTTAAAAATTAAGTTTTCTAGAAATTTTTGAAAAATCTCGAAAAAATCTTCAAAAGCGTCAAATCTTGAAAACTACAAGGATTTGAGCACTCATATTTAGAGGTAAGAATCGCAACTACCGAGAGCACCCGCAAAGTTTCCAACTACATAAATAATATCTTCAAAGTTTTTGAATTTTTTTAAATCTAAATTTTTTGATAATTTTTGAAAAAATCGTATAAAAAACGTCATATCTCAAAAACTACACAGATTTGAGAAGTGAGATTTGGAGGCAAGATTCGCAACCCCCGAGAGTATCCCGACAGACCCCAATTACAGGGTTGAGATTTTCAAATTTTCAGAAATTTCGAAAACTTTCTGAAAAATCTCGAAAATTGCCGTAGCTCGTAACCTAAAAGGATTTGTTTATTCATATATGGAGGCCAAAATCGCAATACCCGGGGAAACCCTGACAGGATCCCACTATTGGGTTGCTAAGTTTCAAACTTAGTGAAATGAACACTGAATTCAAACAGGAAAATCGAAAAAAAATCTTAACCATTGCAATATACGATACAGCTTATACGTGAAAAAATTCTTTTGTTCAACATGCAATAATAATAGATGGATATTTAAGGTAAGTGTTTCTATATTTGCTCATAAATAAGGACAAAAAACAACACAGCACGACTAAATGAGATAAAATGAATCTTGACCTCTCTGATTTGGACAGTGCATCCTGTAGCTGCTGCTCCTGCCTTGAAACACTCCTCTGCTCTATCCAACAATGGCTGCAATTCCCTCTTGTTAGGTGCGCGGAAGTAGAACAGCAGCTCCGCCCTGTCCGGAATGATGTTGGGCGCCTTACCACCGTCCGTGAATATTCCTACAAGAAATTCAAGCACATACTAACTGAAAAATTTCTATCGAACAAGAGAATTTAATTTGAGGGCATTTGTCATTGTCATAGTTAATTATCCACACGGACTCTCTTAAGGAAGGACGTATTAGCAGTGAGCCGTAAGAAACTGACACGGCCGTATGTTGATTCTTTCCTTATAACGATCAGACAGATAAATTTAAACTGCACCGAGCTTATCGTCAAAAAATCATGAAGTTTTTGAGGAAGGAAGCACACTTCCTTTGCTAACAAATCAGAAATATTACTGTAGCCACTAACTATAAACTAGTCTTCCAAGCTAATATTGTGACGACAATTTTCCGAACGGAATGCTAGAACCAGATGTAATTACAGCGAAATGCAAAACTCACCATGTGCTCTCATGGAAGGATGCATCCAGTGTCTTAGTGCATTGATGTTGCTGTATGCCAACACCGCGGCGTCTAGTGCATTGCGACCGCGCCACGGGGTTGTCCCGTGTGCATTTTCTCCTACCAACAACAATTGATATTAAAACCAGGTTATTAAATTGACAAAACATTAATTTCAAGTTAATTTTGAACAAGTGTCAAATCTCTAGCGAAAAAAAAACTTAAAAAAGAGAAAAACTTTTGAGCTCGTCATTCCAAAAAAAAACTACTAATGAGCCTTGGAGGATCGTTAGATGCCTAGTAGCTTGTCAACATTTTAGTTATCGAAAGATCCTTAACTTTTTAAACAGAAAAATCAATTATATCTTCCGGAAATGAAAGTCAGCATAAATTCAAATGCTGTATTATAGAACAACAAGTGGACGACGAGCAAGAAAAAGCAAAGTTAACCGTTAAAAGTAGCAACTACTTCCTTCATCGCTAGGGTAATGACAGTGGTGCAGCAGGCAAAGGCTCCAGGATGAGCCATGAGAGCAAAATCGATCCCTTTGAGAGCCCCCTGTTCCATCATAAGAATCTTGCCCCCTCCTCCCTCCTCGCCCGGGGAACCCAAAAGCAACACACGAACCACAATATTCCCACTATCCAGGAATTTTATCAACTAAGCAAAACAAGAAATGCCTATTAATGCAGACCAATAAAAAGCAACACATATAGCACACCGTTTATGCATCTTTTCCCAAGCTCCAGAATCCTTAAGCTTGAGTATAATTATTCGAATCTGTTTGATTAATTGCGTAAAAATCAACCCATTATATTAAGCTTCGTTTATTGTGGCTATAGATAACAAACATGAAAAAAACTGGTAGGGACAAGCACATCGAGTCACAAAAAACTGAAGAGAAAAAATTGGTTATTATGAAGATACAAACGACGCTCATGCAAAGGCTGCAAGTCACTCTTCGCCTATCTATTACTCTCCTCCTTACCCGACAAAAGAAAGCCCACCCTGACCCATGGAAACAACAGAATAACAACAATAGCACATATTATACTCAGAACCCAGCATTTGAACATAAAGCAGAACAGAGCTGACGACTAGAAAAACAACCGCAAATAACCAGAGACACAAATTTTATACAAATCTTATAAAACAAACAAATCAAGATCGGAGCCGATAACTTGATACCAGTCGATATATTGATTTAAAAAGCTACAAACAGATCAAAATAACCATGGAAAGTAGCCTTGAGTCTCTTGATTGACTGTGTGATTGTATTCAGACACAGTGTGCGCGAGGCAGGGTGGGACATGAGAGCCAAGTCTACTCCCTCCAGAGCACCCTTCTGCTTCAGCCAGATCTTCCCTCCCCCTCCCTCCTCCCCCGGAGAACCCAGCAGAACTACGCGAGCCAGTATGCCAATTTGGTCCAAAGCTACTATCAACTAAAGAACGTGGAACTTATTACATGTTGACAGTCACTTAAAAATAGCAAAAACGCAGTCTGAAATTTACGAAACTAGTCAAAAACGCGATATTAAACCGAATGGACTTGATTGCAAACTACTAGGTGAATTGCAGCCAACTAATTTTTTTTACAGCGTAAGCTCAGAATGAACTTTCAGAATGGAAGCCAGACGTTCAAGACTACAAATGATCCGAAACAATACAAGCGATTATAATAGAGTATCGATTAATTGTCTAAACACAGATGATATAGCATCATAACTGAAAAAAGACGAGCTAAACACAGCAAAAAGTTTAATAAATAATTTTAAAAAACCAGAAATCATATCAAAATTGACTATTATGAAAATAACCGTAACACGTTATTGGAACTTTATCATAATTTTAACGTAGATCCTACAAGAATTCATTAACTTTAAAACAAAAATTTGTCCCTCTGTTGAATGCTTCTTGACTATTGGAAGAGGTGAAAAAATCAGCTGAAAATCACAGCACAACTGTTCTATACAGCTTACGGCACAGTCTAGCATAAATTTAAGATTTAGGATATGTGCCAGAGCACGTTTTGAGCTTCAGAAATGCAGGCTCGATGGATGGATTAACTGTGATAGAAGTTATATATCTATCTCTCAATATTGTGGTAGCTATCAATTTCTCACTTTCTTTTTATACTGCCTACTTTACAACAAAAATATCATTAACATCTCTGCTCGGTCATAATTTTACTTTATATTTTTCATATTTGGTATGATGGCATTAAATATTGTAAAACTTGAACTCTGGGTTAGTTTACATTTTGAAACGTTTGGTTTAGAGTCATTTGATCGAGCGTGATAATTGTCCGTTTAATAAATAACTGCTATAATCTTCATATACTGGTATGAGAACTACAATCACGAATTCCAAGTTACGGTAAACGTCTTTTTCATTTCTTCAAAGAGCTCTTTGTTCTTCAGCACCTCAAGAGCTCTCCCCCTCTCTCTCTCTCTCTCTCTCTCTCTCTCTCTCTCTCGCCCTCCCTCTCCCTCTTCCCTCCTCTCCCTCTCCCCTCCTCTCCTCTCCTCTCCTCTCCTCTCCTCTCTCTCTCTCTCTCTCTCTCTCTCTCTCTCTCTCTTTCTTTCTTTCTTTCTTTCTTTCTTTCTTTCTTTCTTTCTCTTTCTCTTTCTCTTTCTCTTTCTCTTTCTTTCTCTCTCTCTCTCTCTCTCTCTCTCTCTCTCTCTCTTTTTTTTTCTCTCTCTCTTCTCTCTTTGCAGATAAACCAACAAATCGGATAAAACTTTAAATTGCAACAAAATCCGAAATCTTGGAACTAAAATTACTGCTGAAAGTGAAGCAACGCAGAGGTGAAGCAACGCACTAGATGTGACAAAACATATACAGAACAGGACAAACTAACCGGCAAAAAGAGATGAAAGCCGAAAAAATTATATATAAAAAAATTGATCTACCAAAATGTTCGTAAATGTCTTTGAATTTTCGTAAATGTCTTTGAAAATTTTCGCATATGAATTTTCGTACATAAAAATTCATGTCATAAGATATGACAAAATAATAAATTTGAATGTTAAGTAAGCATCGAAACAAAACTAATAAAGCAGTACCAAAGCCTACTTATGATGAGCAGACACAATTCTTCGAAAAAAAAATGTTTTTATTGGAAAAACTTAAAAACTCCAAAAAATTAGATAAAAATTGTTTGCTTCTCAAACCTCTCAAAAAGGCCTCTAAACCGATATATTACAAGCCGAAACCTTTTTGTCAGAATGAGGAAAAAATGAAAACTGATATACTGAAATCGGATTTAGTAAATTTGTAACCAATAGGGAAAAAAAGTTTCGAATAGAACGGGCATTTGAAATGCAGACAGAAGATGATCCCAAAAAGCACAAAAAATCTCGTGTGCAAAATTATTTGACGACGGTATGCTTGTGTGAATTTGAGTTCATAATTACCAAGCGTAAGACAAGCAAAAAATACCTGAGCAAAAACTATTCATTCCCAAATAATTCAAAAAACTGTATAATACAAAAAATTTCAAGTGTCCTTTCCCCACAGAAGACAGACACGCACGCAGAAGTTTATTTTCGGCCAACAAACGACACAGTAAAAGGTCATATAAAATAAGCCGAAACCTACTAAGCCGAAAAAAAAGGCAACAAAAAACTGGAAAAAAAGGAAATTTCGACAAATAGAGATTATAAAATTACAACCAACCGATCATTCCGAAAGTACTGAAATTTTACTGAAAAGTTTGGTGGCAGAAGCTGAAGCCTGACTTGTAAATTACGAAGTTCATGTCCTCGCATCTGCGCTTCGGTCGCTTGGAAGTAAAGCAACACTAGCCAATGAAACAACTAGAGATGCTGTTATTTTCCAATGGTTGAAATTATACCAAAATAGCCTTTTTGTTTGCGACTTACAATGGAAAAAAATTACTTTGTAGTATTATCTTACACATGTGTAAACATCAAACGTTAAAAAAGTTCTACCGATTTGATTCGATGGACATGTGTAGCAACATTTAACGATCGATATGCAAAAGTTTTGTAGTTGAAGGACTTTACGAAGGAATTCTGCAACTAAAAACACCAGATTAAAATTAGAGCGATTCAAAATCTACATGAAAGCCCACCATAAAAAGCCGCCTCAATTTGGCTGCAGCAGGGCGATACAGAATTCAGGCAGCACCCTATTTCAGAAGGATGCGACATGAGAGCAAGGTCAACCCCTTCTAGGATCCCCTGCCGCAGCATCAGAATCTTGCCTCCCCTTCCTCCTCGGCAGGGGAACCAAACAGTACCAGTTTGGCAGTTATGGACATGCAATCGAGATCTGCAATCAACTAAAGCTACGTACAAACATCAAATAAAGACTCTGGTTTCACTTGATTTCATAGACATTAAGATACATTGATTTAAGTGTTAATTTGCTTCGATCGACCGACCATAGAAAAAAAAACAGTCTAAAAGTTTTCAAATGAGAAATTCTCATGCAAAATAAATAACTCCGCCAAAATCAATTCGCCTCCTTTCAGAAAAAAAGCACAGTAAACTCGTCTCCCGATACATGCGAAACAGTGTTCAACATGGGTTATAACGATTGGCACAGATTTCGTCTTGCTACAGATTTCGTACTATTTATTCAATTTACAGACTTCGTCCAATTTATTTAATTAAAAGATTTCGTCCCATACAGATTAAGTCCCATATCCAACATCCTATCATTCCCATCCAAATTTATGGAAAGAAATCTGTGTACGCTTTGAAATGGGACGAAATCTGTTGAAATTAAAATGGGACGAAATCTGTCATAGCCGTTATAAAAGCTAGAGTATTAGAGCAGCTGTTTCTATTTAATATCTAACATCCAGATTAAACGAATTAAAAAAGGTTCTCTAATGCACAGAAAATTTATAATTGCAATATTCCGACAAGTTGACAGGAATAAGTTACGCAAGGGAGGTAGGTAGCATTATTTGTATACTAATTATCTGACCTTGAGAAATGCCGCAACTCCGACTACTGCAATTAGATTGTGTCCACAAGCATGTCCAATTCCAGGAAGTGCGTCGTATTCACTGAAGAATGCGACACAAGGAATTTCTTTTTTGTCAGTGTTTTTGTTGCTGCCTTTGCCAGTTACATATTCGACTAAAAATACTGATGTCGGAATTATTTAATGATTTCTTTCTGAGATAAAGCCAAATAATAAGTAAATGTTGATAAAGATACAGAATCGTAGACAAAAACACGTCAAAATACACTTTTAACAATACTTTTCTAGGAACTCAAGTTTTCTGTTATACTAGATAATTTATCAATTGTTTAATGAAAACCTAATATCAGGCGAATAAGAGTTACTTTTCAATAGGAGTCTTTCTATTATATAAGGTCCAAAATTGAACATTTCGTATTTTGAAAACTGGTTCATAATGCTGAAATCTGATGAGGTAGAATTTACATCCGGCCAAAGAAAATCTGGATTTTCATTATTAAAAACAGAAGTACAGTTAAGAAAATGGTTATTTTGGGCCGTATAACAGAAAAGACTCCTTAATAACTAGCATACCCGAACCTTTGAAGGCAGTTTCCAGCAAATAGTTCTTTGTCACAGTTCCTATGCCAGCTTTAACAAAGAAGTCAGTTATGGAATCGTGGGCAGCCCTTTCTTCAAATGCTAACTCTGGATTGTGCCAAATCGTATCCGACAAATCATGCAGATCTTTCCGATGGGTTTCAAAAAGGTCATGAGCCATCTGCAACGCGTGATAAGTCAACCCTTTCGCTCAGGATTTATCAAAATTTATACAGTGGTTTTAAGCAAGCCAATTAGATAAATTGGTTTTGATAAGCGATATATTAGTTCTGAAGTTTAGTACATGAAAAGGTAAGCAATTTTAAGATACGTGAGCCCAATCTTGACATAATCTTTTGTATGTTAAATAGCAGTAGGCAGACAATCTAGTAAGCAGACAGGTCACAAAGACGAAAAAGTTACCAGTTTATAACGCAAAACAGAAGCAAGTTAGCGGGCAGGGCAGTATACAGTGGTTGTAACTTTCGCGATTATAAAACTAACAAGAGTAATCAAATGCTAGGCATAAAGCACCAAATTTTCTGCTATCATTAACCTTTAGAAAACAAAATTAAGCGAGAAAAAATTAAATTTCAACCATTTTATATTATTAGTCCTGTTCCTGATCAGCGGAAAAATCAAGAATAAGACATAACCGCCAAAAAAACGTAAGAAAATGAGGCAATCAGATTTGTTCCAATTGCTTGCTCTATTTCTCTTCTATTCGGAATCACGACTGAAAATTTCGGATCTACAAAACAATTACCCTTTTCAAGGAAGAGGGTAATTGGTAAGTAGATTACGTCAAAATTCGAAATATAAATAGAACGCACTTGTGCTAATTTTGTTGTTAAACTTTTAAGGGTGCCATTTCTTTAGTAGATACCATAGGGGTGTCGATTGTTAAGTAAATCCAAAATTTCCATTAAGATATCACTATCGATCGCCAACGAAGTCTCTTTGTAGTAAGAAGCCAAACTTACGCCATATTGATTTCGCACTCTTTAAGAGTGCGCGGAACAATTATTGTTCCGATAACTGCACGAAGTGGAAAAAAGAATGGCATAAGGTCTGTTTTTCCCTGCCTGTTTTGAATCTCAAAAAATTCTCGCAGGGGATCAAGTGCGGTATCATTTTTAGGGCTTTTTCAGTCGTGATTTGGAGCATAAAAAATATATATTTTAAAAATGTGTCCCAGAGTCAAGAAAAACAATTTAATTGAATTTTCAAATTTAAAATCATAGTATTTAATCAATGATTCAAACGGTTCCTATGGATCACTTACCAATTCAGTGCCATCTCAATAACATAGCATACAGACAGTTGGAAAAGAGTCATTGAACGCAAGTAAACAGAAAAAATAATGACTTGTTTTTAAAAAAAAACTTCAACTTTAAAATTTCAAAAGCAATTTAGATGACATTGAAGCTCTTTGGATTTCTAGAACTATTTATGATTGACACTTTTTTGATAAAACTAACCAATAAGAGGTAAGATTAAGAAGTAAAAATTTTATTTCGCTGGGAAATCTACTGAAATTCCATTTTCGAAATTAGAGGTCGATCACGTTTTTCGTGACCTTTCCGCTTTTTCAGTCCGATAGTGGGTGGTGTTCGCCTTCCTTGTAAAAAAGAGAACTGGACGCAGAAAGAAACCAAAAAGCAAACCACAAACAGTAAATTTGAGCCTCAACAAGCCTGAAAAAAAATCGTCACGACCTATATAACAGACTGAAATACGCTCATCGAATCCTAAAAAAAACATAAACAAGTCAAAAGCTAAAAAAAAACCCAGAAAAATCTTTCCAAACCTTTTTTTAAAATTTTTTATAAACACTTTGTTAAGAGAAAATTGCGTGGTCTCAACCCTTTGCACGAATTTTGTCATTATTGGCATCATTTGAAATTTCCGCCTTTGCCACTTTTGAGGTAGATATTCTTGCTGAGCGTGTATTGGCGTTTGTCAGAATACTCCACAACACGTTTCGCAATGCGTTCAAAAAAGATTGAAGTATTATAGACTTCCTAAGCTGAGCGATGTCTGATTCCAGGCTGGAGGTCATATTTTATACATAGAAGCAAACTTTCCCTTCTCATACATAAATAGAAACGCGCAAAACTTTGATGCCGTGCAAGATCTTTGAATTTCACGAACAATTTATGAGAGGAACTTTGATAAGACTAACCCCATTTGAAAAAACTGGATCCATAGGTAAAATTTTTCATTTCGCTTGGAGACCTGATAATAAAGTTCTATTTTCGAAAATAGAAGTCGATTACACTTTTCATGACCTTAACATATTTGCTGCTCGATAGGAGTTTGCCTTTCTTTTAACAAAGGAAATGAACTGAACCTCAAAAAAATCGTTAAATGAAGCCGCGAAAATGTGAATTTGAGCCTGAACAAGTTTTAAGACCGAAAAAAAAACATCCCGACTATATAAGAGCTTCAACTACATTCAACTACTCTTAAAAACGCCGTAGCATGACACGAAAACGTAGATGACTCCAAAACACGGAAAAACTACTGATATATTTTGACGCAGTATGAAAGAAAACATGCTTGAAAATTCCTTGCATTTCAGAATTTTTTTACACAAAGGCAAAGCTTGGCTTCGCAAACAGTTGCGACAACACCACAAAAAGCAATTCTATAAAGTGCAATAATAAAAAATAGAAATAAACCTCGAATTAGTAAAAAAAAATTCGGCTACGTCTGAGATTCGAACCTGCTACTTGGAAATTAAGTCTCACACACTAACCTCTAAGTAGGCACCAAACATTAGCCACAAATAAATAAAGCAAAGAACAGATGCTATGCAATTGCCAATGCTACAGTTAAATTTCCAAATAAGTGAACACTTTTATTTGCGAGTTGGGTTAGAAAAAAACGAAGGTTCGTAATAATACACTAAGCTAATTGCAAGTGTAAAGATTGACATTTTTTTAAAATCATATCGCAATCGTGATAACATAAGCCCAAGTTGAGAAAATCGGATCAAAAAGTAAAGTTTTTAATCAGCTGGAAAATCTGAAATTTCAATTCCGTAATTGAAACAAAAACTGATTCAAGATTTTTGGCGCCGTTCGAAATAGTAGAAAAGGTAACAAATTTGAAATTAACTTGAAAAGTCAAAACAGGTTAAATTAATTTGAGAGTCGGACAATTATGAGACTTGTGTCGAAAAAAAATAACACGGCAAAAAACATCTTAACCTCGTTCATTGACTCCTAATTAACAAAAATATTTTTAACAGTTGATTAACAGACCAGAAGTTGCAATTCGCAAGTACAGGCCAACAACAATAAAAATGAGCTCAAAAACTGTAAAGAAAAGAAACTGCCAGATAATAAAGCTTGAAAGAACCTCACTTTCATGAAAATGAATCCTCAGAGACTACGGGATCAAACTCGGACCTCTTGAAGAACCATTTACCGTACGCACTTGGCCAGGACGTCTTGGCTTTTATATTTGCTACTTCAAGCCAAAAACTATAACTTTCAAGCCGAAATTCGCAAATGCATAGCACCACCTGCTCGAGAAAGGCAATGCCTATTAAAGCACCCTTTTTAAACTTACAGGTAAAAATTTCGTTATTGAATTCGTACTATTTAAGAAACTGACATTTATTTGGACAACTACTCTAATACAAAATCAAACTGCTTCAAATAAATCACGTTCAAAATCAACATGCATTCAAGCAGCGGTTGCTATTAAGGAATAAAGTTTTTAATGCAAATAGTGCCATGAATAAAGTTATTTTTCTATATTATTTGTAGCAATAACGTTTATCTTTTCTATTTATCTATTACTCAATCTTTCAAGATTGCATCGCTATTTTCTTCATTATGTTTTGTTTTAGAACTTCTAAGTAATCCACTCCGAGAATTCTTGAACTTCTTCTGTCTAGTCGCAACCACCGACTAAAAAGAATAACTTCTACTTCTGGACTACATCCGGCAACTGGTGGTGTAACTTGGACAACTTTCTGATGTCGTAGAGGACTGCCCTGGCCACTGCTGCATCTAGCTGGTCCATGAGGTATCTCTGGCTGAATTTGGGCAGACTGTGTTTGCAGTTCTCAATGCCCAACTTCTTCCAAACCCAGTTGATGCCAGGTGGGTCTGTGCTGCTTGTGTGGCGTGTCAGAAAACTAAAAAGACAGTGAAAATTAATACATTTTTGGGGTGCAAAGAAAAGAAATGATTTGGCGTGAGGTGAATTCTTTAAATAGTGGATTTCAAAAATGGAAACACTTTCCATTCATTGCCGCATGCACGTCGAGATTAAAAACTGCAATATTGGAGGTTTTTTAGTCTTATAATAGGTAACAGTAACAAAATATAGAACCAAAAAAAAAACACGTTTTACCACTACCTATTTGAATGGCTCCTGGAACATTTCCAGTTCAATTGATTCATATCTAACAATGCTCAAATGTCTTACTTGACGGATGGATCAAATAGCCAGTGGATGACGTCGAATTCTCTGGGGTCGTCCAGCTTGGAAACTTTCAATGGGACATTGGTGGCGCCTGAAATTTAAAAAAATATATATTTGGCTCGAACTTGAGGAGAAAGTCTACGATCGGCGTGACTTTGCACATCCGCATGTAAATCTCATGATGACAAATTAACATGTTATCTCATATAATTGTAGCTATCTAGCAGGAAAATCCACGAGTAGAATTTAAGATTGAAATATTAGAATGCTAAATGAAAGGTGTTCCACATAAATTTGAATATTTGATGTCAACAGGAAAAACCTAGCCAACGAAGTTAACACATCACAGAGGTCAAAGTTTACATATGTCAAAACTGAAATTCAGTAACTTTTTTAACTCAATCTTGAAAAAACTGAAACTTGAAAACTTTTAAAAAACAAAAAACACCACTTTATTTGCTAAAACTTTCTTGATTCATAAAAATATCAATAAATTTTGTCCAACTCGAACAATTCAGCCTCAGATATTAATTGATTTGCGTTAAAAAATTTCTTGAAACCATTCTTAACACAAAGGCGAAGTTGCACTTCGCATACACCAAAAAAAATGACCAATAACGCTACTGGGAAAATCCTAATGCGTAAAACTTTGAGTCTACAAAATTTGGCACGCCAATTACGAGTCTACATAATTGTTAAGTGACGCAAGCCAATTATGACGCATTAACAGTACCAGTCAATTTGAAAAAAAAATTACCAACTAACATGCCTCAATTTGGTGGCAGGACAATCTACCCTATTCCAAACTACCCTATACCATTCAACCCTATGCCATTATACCCTACACACCAATCTACCCTATACCAATCTACCCTATACTAATCTACCCTATATACCATAATGAGGTCCCATAATGTAATCTTTCAAAGTCCTAATTAGAATCGGAAAGATACAGCACGTGTTAATTCATTTGAGTCTAAACTTTTGGACTCAATTTGTGTCTTTCACTTAAGGAAATTGTTCTAAAGACTAAATCGCAATAAGAGCCGCAAAATCGAAAATTTGTCTCAATTAACAAGTTTTAATCCCCAATTTTCAAAATCACGTACAAAAATGAAACCAAAACTACGTCATTATATCAATTTTCCTTGGAATAACATTTACCAAAATGAGTCAAATTTCTTGGGGTCTATCCCAACAGAATCGGAGAACGCTTGTTACCGGTGGCCACGAGTTTACGAGAAAACAGGAAACAAAGGATGGAAACATTTACTGGAAGTGTTCAAAATGGGGGTCCCAAAATGCAAAACGACAGCAATAACCCGAGAAAACAATCTTATTTCCTCTAGAAATGAGCACACGCACGAAGTATTTCCTGGTCGTTCGGATGCAAGGCTTCTCGTGCAGAAAATGAAACAGGACACAAAAATTCAGCAAGTACCAGTCAGTAGCATAATTATAGCAAACGGCCTGCAGTCTGTCTCCGAAGAAAAAGCAGTTCAATTAGCTCTTCCTTGCCGGTCGGCGATTAATCGGGCCCTCAATCGACAGAAGGTAAATGATAGACCCACATTGCCTCCAATTGTCGACAGACATTTTGAAGTGCCCAAGCAACACGAGGATTTTTGCGTCTTCGATAGCGCCAATCAGAAATTCAAAATAATGAAAGCAATGGGAGGAAACAGCAACCCCAGTCGAAAGAAGTACAGGGAATTGAATGAGAAAGTGAAAAACATTTGCAACATTTTTGACAAAGATTCTATTTTAACATATTTGTATTCTCTCGCGCAATTAAGTCATTCCTAACTCTGTTTAATTTATCAAACTTTGTGAATTTTTCAAAAATTCAAATTAATTTAAAAAAAAAAAACACACTTTTTGAGGTTCCCGTGGCCGTAGAGGGCTGAAATTTTGGGAGGTAATAGAGGCCAATATCAAAAGAATTTTACCTTCTCCCTCACCCCGTCCCCAGTACCGCCTTGGCCTGCTACTGGGGGGTCTACCCCTCCTTTTGCGATCAACTAGTCAAACCCTCAGTAATTTTCGCATTTCATTCAAAATTTGACTTCTTGCTGATTTTCAAACACAGGCATTATCCGCTAAGCTATGTCGACTTGATGTGATATGACTTTTGTTTGTTTAAGAAATAGCCGCAACGCCGTTCAATAGCAACATTGGATTAAAATTTCTGTTCGTTCATGCTTTGAACTCATTTCCATTTTGAACAAGCAAGTTTTACGTTGCTTTGATATTTTGTTCACGTGCGGCAATTATTCTTTGATCATAATTAATGCTTCTTTGATTTGTTCGGAAAAATACTGTTTCGGATTCTTCAAGAGGATGGGGTAAGTTTCAATTGCTTTAATTATAGGGTAGAATGGTATAGGGTAGATTTGTATAGGGTAGATTGGTATGTAGGATAGAATAGTATAGGGTAGATTAGCACAGGGTAGATTGGAATAGGGTAGAATGTCATGGAACCCTCAATTTATAGAGCGGACGCATTTTAACTAGTATACAAAAAAGTTCATTAAAAACATGCGACTCTGCTGAGGTTCGAACCCTCTTATTTTGCTGCTGGTCTCCTTGCCTACCTCAACGCTACAGATCCATAACACCTGGCAGTTAAAGTGCTAATCGTTGGTTATTGATCTTATGCAAATACTGCAATAAAAGAACACTTTCAAAAAGAGCACTAATATTTGCGATTTACGTTGGAAAAAAATAGAGTTCATAATAACACACAAGCTTTGCTTGTGAAAAAGTAAAATAACAAATAGTCCTATGAATATTCATGCGCAAAAATCAACAAAAACCATAATCAGATATTCTTCGATTAATACAGTAATTTAACGATACTATAGCTGATTAATTTCAAAAAAAATTAATTCTTTTAAGGCATCAAGGAACTTTTGAGGAACTTGATAACTGCTTAAAGGCGCCCCGTATCAATTCTATATCGATCTCTAGGGCTTGAAGCAAGATTCAATAAACCATCGATGTAATTAACAGAACAGGGAGGCAACACAACTGGGATTGACGGATTGAATTTTAAATTTCTTGAATAACCCGAGAACTTAAATATTCCATTTAGTACAACTGCTCGGTCAAAATTAAAACGTTGTATTCTAATCGCCCAGAAGTAGTAGTAGCAGCACATAAGAGAAATAAAAGACATCAAGTAAAAACCCTTGCTCTGAACTGAATTGCTTCTGATGAATTTGCAGTGGAACATTACAGTTTATAGACACATTTTGTAAAAAAAAAATGATAAAAATGCTGGAGGGAAAGTCTACTTCCCAAATACAAATACACCGAAACAAAAAATTGCATAAAAAGATACTAAGAGCGATCTAACAAATATCAATTGAAAACGCTTTTATAGACAAAACGATCCTGAAAAGACGAAAATAATCAATTCCAACGTAGTTAACTGCGAGACAAGGTGTGCACCAACAAGAAATAGTTAATATTCATAATCAAAAACCGTAAATGCATTTCAAAGTAGACTACTATACTTCACATTCATTACACAGAGGCAAAGCTGACCTTATACTTATTTCGATACAACACAGACATTCAAAAAATATAAGTCGAAAAAAAAGAAATAAGTTGAAAAAACGGAGGGAACCAACCCGTTCGTATACTCAATAAAAAAATAGGGGTTCAGTCAAACTAAGAAGTAGGTCTTTGATACTTTTGAATTTTTTTTTACTTATGAGAGATGAAATGGGTAATTTCAAAAATGCACTTTGCCAGAAACCTTAGTTGCTTCTCTACCAAAATAAATAAGGGTGAAATTTTTTAAGAAACATTAAATCTTCCTCACAAAGGAAGAGTCGCCGCTTCAATAGGAAAAATTCTCGCAACCGGTTCTTTCGATTAAAAGTTTAAAAACTTTCCATATCAATCGCTTGTTTCTTCAATGAGAACGTCGAGTCCACTGTAAAATAGAATATTACCAAAACCGTATTTCTCGATTGAACCTGAAAACAAGATTTGGCAAGGCAGTTTTCGAGAAAAGTCAAAGTTTCAAAAATGGTTTAAAAAAAACTTGACTGTTCCGCAAATCAAACCTACTTGTGTAAAATATTATTGGGCGTAGCCGCTTGAGCAGAAGAGATTCAAACAATCTGTTGTTTAGATTGAACGCAAAAACTCAAAGTTTGAGAATTGTTTTGGAAAAAAGTCAAATAGTTTCAAAAGGCGGTACAAAAACCAATTATTGACTTTTCCGAGGGCCATTACTTTTTGTTTAAAAAAATTGCGCGCAGCCGCTTATGCAATTGAGCTTCTCAAAACGCGTTCTATCTATTGAACCCAAAATCTAAGATTTGCGAGAGTTTTTGAGAAACCAGAAAGAAATCCAAAAATATGGGTCAAATATTCCCCCACAGACATTTTCGAAGGCTGTACACAGTAGAGTAAAGTACAAAGAGACAAGGAGATTATGCAGGCACACAGGGAAAAAGAGCTGTTTCTCTCGATACGCCTTTTTTGAATTTCAGTAGAGTAGTTTTCTACTGAAACAAAATTTTTGTTGAAAAGTTACAAAAAAATTGGAAAGCGTCTCGAAAAAAATTTAGAAAAAATCCAATACCAGACATTTTCATTAAACTTGATTTTGTCGAACAGGAATTTTTTCCGTTAAAATTACAAAATATAAGTTGACAAAGCCGATTCAACACTAGCCGAAACCATTTAGCAAAAGAGAACAAAAATAAACAGTTATTTGTTATTCAAAAAAATCAGACATGATAAAATGTCAAGGAAATTGCCAAATAACAGAACTTTCAATTATAGTAAATAAAAAAATTACAATCAAAATAAAATTCATGCTTTACAAATTAAGTTGATGAAAATGTGTACCAAATAAAATATTTCATGAACCGTAGGGAAAAAAATTGCTGCCCAGAACGTACTCCACCTATTAACTTGACTACCTAGATGAGGTAATTTTATTTGAATTTTCAAGAATTTGAGCATGTCTTGAAATTTACCATTCCTAAATTGACCCTTCTAGGACCAAAATTATTTATGGGAATAAAGTCAGTACCCGATTGCAATAACCTTGCTTATCGCAAAGGTAAAAATCAAAAACCAAGCTACAGAAATGAGCAAAAATAATTGACACAAGAAATACGAGCATATCTTCTAAAAATAACTAATTTCTAAAAAAAATCTTCGCAGAATCAATAAGAAACAGATTCAAAAAGGCAAATCAACTGAACTACATGCTTTCAAGCCTAGGCTATTATTTTTTCGGTTAATAAAATCCAATAGTTTGGTTGAGTCAGCTATGTGAACAAAAAAACAATTAGCTTGAAAAAAAGAACTCTGTGTACAAACTGATCAATTGCTAACCTTGTGTAACCATGTCATCAAATAATTCAAACATTTAGCCCACCTCCTGTCTTCGAAGATGCCGATGCCGCCTTCACTTTCTCGGACACCTCCTTGAACAACTTCTTGAATATCTCGATGTACTGTGGATCTACAGCAATCTGAATAGGCTGGTGGAATGTAGTCGAGAACCGACAGTCCACTCGGGGCTTCGAACTCGGTACATTTGAAGATCGTCTGTTTGTTGTAGACTCCGCAACTCGTGGTTCTATTAGTGTCTGTTTCTGTTCAGTTGTCAGACTGGCTTGGATGCGGGGCAGGGAACCAATAAGAGAACTCTCAACTTTGTAGTATGATCGAACGCCAACTAAAAACAAAATACTTAATCGATCAATTTAAAGTGGCCTCTAGTATTTTTCACGTCAATTGACGTTTTCATTTCTCATATTTTATCAAGACCCTTCGCTTGGTTCCTCGGTAATTCAGTTCTGTTCAGCTAACCGCAAATTGAAGCTTTTGTTGGCATGTTCTATAACATACCTTCTTGGCTGTTGGCTGTTGTGTTCTTCAATGTATGTGCGAACCACTCCTTGACTGCACTTGCGACCATAATGGGACATGATCCATCTCCGATCCTGTGGTACAGTTTGATCTCTGCCATCTGCATGTCTCTTTTCCTGTCTGCCTTCGACAGCGTGTCGTGTAGTAGTTGAGCACTCAGATTCTGCTCCACAATTAACATTTCCAGGTCTCCTTGAAAAAGTTTTCCTGCTATTTTTTAAAGTTTTAACAAAAAAAAACATTTGAGAAGTAAAAACGTAAGTAATACTTTTATTTCGCTGGAAAATCTGATAACCAAACTCCCTTTTTGAAATTAGTAGTGGATCACGTTTTTCGTGACCTTTACCCTTTTGCTGTTCGATAGTGGAGTTTGCCTTCCTTTTAACAAAATAAATAAACTGAAACACAGAAGCGAATATGAGCTTAGCACCACTTGATACAAAACAAGAAAGCCGCCACGTCGGGAAAAAATTGGATATGTCCAAAAAAACTACCTAATTTAATAAAACTAATAATTAAGACCTACCTAATTTAATAAAACAAGTTTTGAAATAAAACCACGCCAAGATAATAGAAAGTTAAAAAAGAAGCGAAAAAAAATTACCAAGCGGTAAAAAACCGACAATATCTTAGCAGAAACACTTTAAGCCGAAAAAAATCAAGAAGACTTTTAAAACGTTAATAAGTCCTCTTCAACCTCACACACACACACCTACACAAATCGTTATTTCCTCGTCGAATGAAATAATAAGAGGCCACTAAGCCGATATAGTATAGGCCGAAACCTATTTAGCCGAAAAGGAAAAAAAAGCCGTAACAAATATCAAAAAAATTAAAGACTAATTAAAAATTACTAGGTCACCGTCACCCTCAAACACACACGAAAGACTCAATATGAGGCCATTGAACCGATTTAATATAAGCCAATAGCTATCAAGCGAGAAAAAAGGAATAGAAAAAAAGAACAAAAAATCCGGAAAAAAATGTTGTCAACAAAAACTATAATTTCTATATAACTTTTTAGTAATTTGTGCGATCCAGAGGGGAGCATCAAAATTATGATTTCCCTAAGTTTACTCAAAATATGTCACTGGGCCAATAAAATATCAACCGATATCATTTGAGCAGAATAAATTTTTTAAGCGAAAAAAAAAACAAAAGAAAATACACAAAGTCAAGGCTAGTAAAATACACAAAGTCAAGGCTAGTAAAATTACAAACAGTGGTAAAAAAACACTTAAAGCAACTACAACATAAACTGCGTATAGTAAAAAACTTTCTACGATGTAGCAACTAAGCCGACAAAACATAAACAAACAAATCATAAGCCGACAATTTTTTTGAAATGGATTACATCCCGCTTAAAAAAAACAGGTACTGTCAGATTCGAACTCAGGACTTTTGTAATCCCAGGCGTTTTCGTTACTTCCAGACCAAAAGTGTTGGAGAGGCAAAGAAATTTGAACTTATTATTAACTGAACCTCAATTTACCATTTCTAATTTTGGCCATTCTGTGAACAAAGTTATTTATGGAAAAAAAATGTAGTACCCGATTGCAATACCCTTGCTTACCGTAAAAAAATAAAAACAAACCGCGAAAACAAACCGTGAGCATGAACAATTTTAAGACTTCTTCCTGAAAAAAAACTAACAAAAAATCACCAAGACCTATATAAGAGTCTTCACTACCTTCATTACTGTTAATTAACTACTAGCACTAACGTTCTACAATCTGCTGACACTCGGTAGAGAAGGAGACTAGTGGCTGGTAGAGAGCCAGCACAAACCACCGACTGGACCTGATCTCATTCTCCATCAGCACCACCGACAACTCATCTCCCTTCAGCTCAACTTTACCAGACAATAACACCTGTAATTTCAATGAAGTAGAACACTTGAAGTATAACACTAAGGCAAGAAACTAGTTAAGAATAAACCAACAACACACCCAAAGTTATGACCAACAAGTAGTTATAAGGTAATTTTGACTCCGATTCTGAGGACATTGCAAATCACAAGACCTTCCACGACATTTTTCATTTATTTCAAATCCTGCGACTATTCGATTTTGATTCATTTGGTCTTTCCGATACGTTTTAACAGAACAAATATAACTTATAACTTCGGGAAAAACAAACGAAAATAGATTTTCCTTGCTTTGATGACATCGCTTTCAAATGTAACTAATCATACCTTGTTTGACGACAGATTCGACGGAAGAAAGGGGAAATTTCCGGATACAATGTCTGACACGATTCCAGGCCAGTGTCTACGCCAGTTCACTTTTTTCTGCGTTCCCTGGATAGAATCTTCAGACACTCTCAGGGCTCCCAGGCCTTGATAAACGCTTCCGGTCATGGATCCACTGGCTTTGTTTCCAGTCATTGGACTATTGACGGACTTAGTATTGAAGTACGAGTTGTAGAAGTGAATGAATCTGGTTTTGATGATGATGAAATCTGGGATTGTGCTCTGGACCATTAGGATCTGCGCATTGTCCCAAGAGATGTCGGAATTGATGAGCAACTTGCAGGGTCTGAATAATTACAAAGATTATGCGACACTATCCCGCTATCCTACTATAGCTTTCCAAGCAGTAAAAGAACTTTTGATCAGACAGCTTCGTAAAAAACAGCCAACATACTGTTGGAAAAACGTAGAATTTTTTTCTGATTTCCATTTATAGCCGTGTTCATCGCAACCTCACTTTTTCAGTGATAACGCTAATAGCACTTACATTTGAGAAGTTGGCTTAGCCTCGATTCTCCAGGTATCGCTGAAATTTAATTTCAGCATGTTGAAACATCCCATCAGAATTGGATTACTCTTGTAATTCATCCTGAACTCAGACTCATTCAAACTCAGGGAAATCTTGTGTTCTGGGTGCTCCTGAGGAGGTCTTTTCATTGAAAACTGGAGACTCCAGTTGCGCAGGTGGAAACTGGGATTTATCGTTGCTGCAATTGAGGTCAGTTCTGATTTTCCGAGGGTGATTTTACTGGAGGCGAATTTATGCCGGTCACTTGTTAGATGCAACAACCCGGTGCCAAGTAATTTTTCGGTCTTAATTTTGATGCTTCCCATGAAACTATCTAGTTGCATGTTGACCTCAAAAGAGGAAAAGTTCGCTGCTACATTGACGTTTGACTCCCATTTTGTGTTGCTTCTGGATCCCGAGGCCAAGGTACTAGTTTTTGGACTCCAAGGTCTATCCGGGATTTCGTCATTGGGTGATGCTTTTTTCCGACGACGCTGAAATCAAATTTTTGGCTTTCATCACTACTTGTGTATAGTTGATAAAAATTATAAACTTACTGTTTTGCAACCAGTGTCAAAAATTCATATCGTCAAAACTTTAAGTGGAACTCTTGTCATGTCTTATCTGAATCTGAACTTTATTATCTTACCAATTCAGGCGAAGCAGTAGCATTATAATTCCCGCTTCTTCTGTTTTGCGAACTATCTCGAAGAATTCGAGTTCCATCCTCAAACTCAACATCATCACTGTCGACTGCATTTCTATTTCCTCCCTGATTCACGATGTCATCGATGTCATTCAGGTTGAGGTCACTGGGGTCTATTTCTGGATCTGGGGCAATGAATGCCTGTTTTATGAGCTTCTGTCGGTACCAGTACTTCAAGAAAGTTCTCAGGTCTTGCAATTTGCGGATGTCAAACTTGAACTGACATTCGCCGAAGTCAAGAATGACTGGAAAAAAATAGCGACGTTCCATTACTTTAAACTTCGTTAAGATTGAACAAAAAACTTGGTCTCACAAAATTAAAAGTATAAAAGTATTGTTTAGGACCAATCAAAACAAGAGAACAAAAAACCCTGATTCAGTACCCTGAATCATCCTTTCAAAATATTTCCATAGCAGACATTTAGATCTGTCTTTCAAAAAAATAAAAGCTCTAAGGAAACGTACTTGACATGTTGATGTATCGATATCTCTCACAGGATGACAGATTGGCAGTGTTTTGGCTACTGCTAGTCGATGATGTCGTTCGGCCTAATCTGGGGTAGCTGTCTCTGGCAGCTCCCTGACTCGTGGCACTGGCCATGTTCTTGGAACTTCCAATCGTTTCTCTCGTGTTAGTCATGTGAAGGGTAGCGTTTCGACAAATATTCAGTTTGACTGATTTAACTGACAGCGAGAAGGCATCTTTCCTCGAGTTGTCTCCTAAAAAATCAATCATTTGAACTGTTGATGAGTTTAGTTAAAGACCTGCAATGATCTTCGAAGACGTTCGAATTTAAATGAAACTAAGTACGCAATATTTTTCAGCGCCTTTATAATAGCAATTTTCTCCGCTTTATAACAATTCTACACAGAGGCGAAGCTGCGCTTCGCAAACACAAGCGAGGAAATGCAAAAAAGAGCTCTAAACAGGCAAAACAAAGTGCAATAAGGCAAAACTGAAAATATGACTTGAGAATCACTTTTTTGCTGAGATAAGGAGTATCACGTTCTCACATCTGCTCCACGATGTGGAATAGCCACTTGAAAAAGATCCCCATAATTTTTCAAAAAATAATTAGGTCAAAAAGCCCCCTACTGAAACTTCCGAAAGCCGTAGAACGTGGGGGAAAATGAAAAAGGATTAGCAAAATATACAGGCAAAATATACAGGGAGCAGCCGATTCTTCCATTGGTACCATTTTTTTGAAAATCAGAACAGTAGTTTTTGAGAATGATACATGTTCTTGATACCTGTTCTTTTCAACAGTACTATACATTAGGCAAAATTAAAGCCGCAGCATATGCTATTAAACTGTCTATGCTTAAATAGGCTCAAATATGATTAAATTGAAATATACCAAAAAAAGCCACAAATGAGCAATTTTCTTTCGACTTCGGTTGGAGAAAAAATTCTTCGGAATAATATACTACACTTCGCATGTGTAAAAACGGAAATATGATACCGAAGTTATAGCCGAATGAAGATGCTCCAACTCCTCCCATATTTCTCGGGTCATCATTGTTCAGTTTGAACTGATGGAACACATACACGTTGAAATCATCTGCGACAACAGTCACAATCCAGCCATTCGCTTCTCCTATTTGAGTCTGGGAGCAAAACTTGGGTGACATTTGATCGTGACATGTAGAGACCTTCCTCTTCGGTTCTTCGCTTTTGCCTTTAGTGGAACTCGTGCTTCGCTTAGATTCCGTACTACTTTCGGGTCCCCCAGAAGGCTCGATTGCTGAGAGGTTATCGCGAACAGATGAAAACACTACGTTTGTTTTTGGGAGAAGCATCATGCAGGCTATTTTATCGTGTGGGTAACAGTCGATGTCAATTTCAAATGGCTCAATCTAATTGAAAGATATTAACTGAAATTAAAGTTGAAAAAAAATTGCCACCGATGTAACCCATGTGTGCTTCGTTCAACCCAGCAAAATATGCCCAATGATTCTTTTTATTGAAGACAGGACAGTGTTAAAACTATTCAACAGCTACAGAACTTCAGAAATCATCGACCAACTTACAGATCTTCAAATGATAACTATTATTTCTAGACACCATGTTTGACTCCTATATTAGTATCAACACAGTCAGATCGTTTTATTTATAGTAAACATATTACGCACCGTGAGTGCGATGACAACGTCCACGGGGAACTTTGTGTCTGACGTGACGATTACTTTCGTGGAATCCACCCCAGTGCCGCTCTGAGGAGTTCCAGGCTCTTCAACAGTCCTTGAGCTTATGTGAGATGTATTCATATATGAGTCCGGGTCGTCTTCTAAAAACGAAAAGCAATTTGATGTTTAATGTAAGAAGCATATATAAGGCTATCGAGCTAATCAGTTTTTCAGTCTTTCAAAAAACTAACTAACCAGAAACGTTGTTGAGAGTTTGCTGAATGTAGTCGAGGAAACACGGCGACAAACGCATAAGCTAAAACAAAAAATGAATGAAAACGATTGCCATTCTTTGTACATTTCAATTCCCATGACACCACCAGACAAATGGAACACAGTCAATGAACGCAAGAAAGCAGAAAAAAAATACCTACCGAGAAAAAACTAGATGATGATTCAAAAAACTTGCTAAACAAGTGTTCACGTTTTTCCCATTATACTTCATCTAGTAAAACATAGCACACTGAGTTGGAAAAGGGTAATAAACGCAAGGAAACTGAAAAAAAAACGCACTGGTTTTTTGAAAAACTTTTGAATTTCGAAGAAAAAAATGTATGCCCTTCAAGATCTTTCAATTTCTAGGACAAATTACGACTGAAACTTTTTTTGATAAAATTCACCCAATTTGAGAAAACTGGATCAGATAAAAAAAATTCGCTCGGAAATCTGATAATTCCTTTTCGAAATTAGAACTCGATCACGTTTTTCGTGACCTTATTTGCACTTTCACGGTTCGATAGAGGCGTTTGTCTTCCTGTTAACAAAGGAAAAGAAATGAACTTAAAAAGAAACCAAAAATCAAACCGCGAAAAATCAAGTTTGAGTGTGAACTTTTTCTGAAAAAAAAACGAAACAAAAAAAGCTACGTTCATCGACTCTGAATAGCATTTTACTAAAATTAGACTACCGCCCAACAATAAAGAGCATTAATTTTCTCATTCAGCTTTTCCTTACCGGATCTTCCAATCTTTGTATGACCACATAAAGACAAAGTCTTCCGTGCCTATGAGTCATTGCGTTCAAAGACCTATTTGACCTCAGACTACCCGTCGCCTCTTTCTTCACCCCAACGGACACTGAAACCCGGTCACTCTTCTCCGCCTCTTTCGGCAGGTTAATTCTAGGAATTGACGTTGTTGATTTCGCAGTGATATATTCACTACTAGTCGTTCCACCACTGGACAAAGCAGAGCCCATCCGATTGCCAAATACAGGTGAAAAGGTCTCAACTGGTGAGCTGTGTGTTTGTTTATAAGCAACTCCTCTTGTACCAAGAAGAGATGGCTTGTCTCGATTGGAAGATGTTGCGCTAGACCGACCAAAGTCAGTTGGTATAGAGTCTGTCTTCTTTTCTTCCGAAGGGGTAGTCCTCTCCTCCTTCGCTTTTTCCTCAACTTCTGCCTCAATCGTCGTAGTTTCCCCGGAATAATAAGTCTTAAATAAATAATGCATACGTTAAACCAAATACGCATATTGCGCTTGATATTGCTCTAAATAATGAGACATTTACTGAATTCTCATGCATAAGAATTCAGTAGGATATTTTACCTTGACACTGACTGCAGGAAGCGTAATGTGAGACACATTTGGTTCCGTTCTTCGACTTCCTTTCACTGGCGACGCAAGTTTTGAGTCAGCACTGAAACAACTAATCAAACTTAAGCCGTAGTCGATTGATAAACTGACGAAGAAAAGAAAAACAATGAAGCAATTTTCGACACAGAGACGAAGCTGAGCTTCGCACTCCACTTGCGATACAAATGAAACGCCAAAGTTGAAAAGATGGGTCTCAAACGAAAAAAAAAATGTATTGAAGAAATCGTAGGCTAAAATATGAAGATTGTTCAATTCTTACAGAAATCAATTACCTAAAACATTAGTAGGATTTGGGCTACACAAACTCCATTCATTTCTCATAACACCTAGATGGAAACGATCAGAAAAAAAAGCTCGGTCAAATGATCTAAAAATTCAAAAACTTTGCTTCAAATCCTGCATGACCTACAGGCAAGCTTGAATATAAGAAAAGGCCCAACCTGTTGCTTGCTATAAACTAAGATTAAAATGAAAAATGCATTTGAAAAACCAAGTATTCAAAATAAATACTGCAAAAATTGAAACAATGTCACAAAAAATAACTTCCATAAAATCTAACCTAAAACCGCTTTTAACATCCCAAAGACATCAAACCAATCCTAGAAAATAAATTGAACAAAATCATAAAAGCTAGTTAAGCCGAAAAAAGTCAAGTCGACGCTCAATAAACCGAAACTCCTTCTTAAATTTTTGGCAGACAAAAAACCATTGGGAAAACGCCGATACACTCAACAATCCTATGAACTGAAAAATAGCCCAAACCATCTATATTTACCATATCTATTTTTTGCTAGTATGTTAGTAAAATTTGTTTACAGGGAAAAGTCTTGTACGCAATTTTAATACATTGGCTCATCGCCACGTAAAAAAAAAACTTATTAATTGTGCAGTTGTCAGGTACTAACAGCGATGGCGGGTCCGCGTGCAAAACACACTCGCCCGATGAAATGCTGATTCCAAGGTCAAACTTCATCCCAATTCCCTTTGAAGCACTTTCGGCTGCATGCTGATTCGACCTTAGGAACAACGTTGATGGGCGTGTAGTCGAACTAGAGTGAGCGGAATGTGAGTTTTCTGAAGTGGTCAGATGATGAGTATTTACGTAGTCACTGGAGATTACATTGATGGATACTGGTCGAGCAGGGAAGTGATGTCCGACTTGGTTTTGTTGTGGGTAGAGAGGAGTATTGCGATGCAAGTTGGATTCTTCCTCATCATCAGACCTAAATTTAGCAATTGCTGAGCAGTTAAATCATAAGCAAAAACAATAAACATAGCTTTAGAACCCAAAGTGTCCATTTTCAGAAAAAAGTGCAGTAAAATCTCAAAGCAAGCCGCCTACTTTTAAGGAATTTATAGGACACTTCATTATTCTGGCCCCGGAAAACATTTTGTTTCCAGAAGAAAAATTGTTTCTACTTTGTAGTTACCAGAAATGAAAGAATGAGCGAATGAGATCAAAATGACAACGATTGAAATCTTACCATTTATTGGTGTTTGGAACACTTCCTGGAAAATTGGAGGCCCTCAGTGGTTCCAATGTCTGGTTAGAACCAGTCACTGTATGATGTGACATACTGTATGGCATTTCGCTTCCTCCGACAGGGGACAGGTCATGATTGAACCCTCCAAGTGCCATACTTTGCGTCCTCGTATGAGAACCTGCGTTGTTCGTCTGGGATCCAAGGCCGGTGTTCCCAACAGAACCAGTGGGGGATCCGGCAATAGGGGCCAGGGATCCAATTCCTGCGTATGAGAATGTTGGGAAGGGAGTAAGAACGAGAGGATTACCAGGTCCAGAAACAGTCGATGCCCTGAAAAAATGACATAAAACTGAAGAATTTAACTTATTTTTTCAGAGAATGTAATACAGTCAGGGTTGATTGAGTGAGATTTACAAAAAGGCTATTACAGTCGAATTGGTTCATCAATTGTGCATGCTGCTTTCATAATTTCCACTAGTGAGTTTTGACCTGAGTGGAAAAACTTGAAAAATTATCCTGGAAAGAGAGACTAAACAATAAGTTCAAATGAAAGATATCACAATTCGCATAAATTCCCAAGAAAAGAAATTTGTGCAAACATCAGAAATCTCAAACCCACTGATATAACCTCAATACTACAAAAATGCAAACCTGTTGCGCAAGTAAGCCTTCAAATCCGTTCCGGGGAGGCTGCTTGAAATGAATCACACCGTTTAACACAGACTAGTTAACATCTATTTTAAATATTTCAAACATGCGGGTCAAAAACTGCTTCACGTTTGGGTTGAAAAAGTTAAACTTCACACATAAACGTTAGATTTTAGATTTTTTGTTCATTTCACACTGCAATAAATTGCTGCCTACAGTTCGAAAACACTTCTACTAACCGTTGCCTGCGTCTAAAAGGGGTTAAAATTATCTATTAAATGATACGGGAGTAAAAAAGGCGAAAAAAAATCAACTATTTTTTTTTGTTGTTTCGGGTAGTCTTTTAGCCAGTTATCAAATATGAAAACTCAACAGATTAAAAACAAAATTACATTTTTTTTTAGCATTTTTCAATAACAGCCAGGGTAAAGACTGAAAAAGAACCTGACCCAGGCAGATGCCCATATATTTAAAAGAGAGCCACCAACCAATGGTTGATAAAAATTCTGAAGAGAGATCCTGTCACTAGCTTGAGTTAAAAAGCACTTTTTGCCAGATTTAAGTGACATCAGACGCGACTCTTTATTTGAGATGATGCGGTATACATAACACATCTATCAATTCATAGCTTCTACTGGTTCATTTAGCTGATTTAGCAGAGAACTAATTTATGGAAGCTATATAAGTTCAGAATCGTCAAAACATACGTTGACAAAACGACAGTAAAAACATTTAAACCGACATCAACTAACTTCTAGGCCAATTTCACTACATCATGTCAACAGAAAAGCATTGCAAGCTATTTAAAAAAATCTAAAATAAAAGTGTTTCACATTTGCCGGGCGGTCCAAAAAATAGTATCACTGTTTGAGACTTAAGAGCTTGGTCGCTATTCAGTTTCTTTTAACTTATATCACAATTTGAGATCTGCATCGAAATTACTACAACTGCTCATTTGCAAGCGTGTAAGCACCACCATTCATCTATGTTTGTACAGCGGCGCAGCGGAGCTTCGCGCAACGTGCAATGCAATACACAGAAGCCGCTAAGTCGAAGAAATAGAAAAAATTCGAGAAAAAAAAAATTTCTGGCGAAATTAATAAAGCTAGTAGTAAAACAACGACAATAAAATAAGAAATTAGGATTGAAAAATAAACTAACCAAGTGGTAACAAAACCAAAAACGATAGAGAAAAAACCTACAGCCGAAAAAAATAAGAAAGACTTAAAAACTAATCTAAAGTTGGCAACGAATTTAAGTCATCCCGTGAAAAAAGATACAGAGTCTAGTACCCGGTTGCAACACACTTGCTACCGCAAAAGTAACACGAAGGCGAAGCTGCGGTTCGTAAACTCCAGCGAGAACATGACAAAAAAAGCAGCTCGATAAAAATCAATAAGAAAAGGTAGAAACAAGCCTCGAATTAGTAAAAATTCGGTAACGTCTCGGATTCGATCTGCCACCAAGACCTTAAGAGTCTCACGCACTAGCCATTCAGTACGGACTCCTAATAAATCACGAACACAAGCAACAAATAAAGCATAAACCAGATGCTATGAAATTTCCAACGCTACAGATTCTGATTACAGCAAAAGCGCCGCCAAATAAAAGAACAAGTCTTAATGAACACTTTGATTCGCGAATTAGGTTAAAAAAAGAAGGTTCGTACTAATACACGACGCTGGCAAGTGTAGTGGGTTAAATACCAGCAGAAATTGAGTGCACACAGCCTGTAGGCTCTTTTCCAATTTCCCCCTTTCAAAATATTGATGCTTATGTTTGTTTTACATGTTCTTATGGCTAAATACGTGATGTTACGATGTGATGAAAATTACGATGAACAGTCTGTTATCAGTTATCAACTTTTTCACCATGCCAAACTTCATAACCCAGTATTTTAAATTGAGAACAGTTTTCTGCGCACTTTCAGTAGTTACTTATAACAATAGTTACTGTTATTCAATCAAGCCGAAAGGGTTTTTTTGACGGTCAGAATAAAATTTGTCACAAAATGGTGGAACACTCAAAAAACATCATGATATTTGAACGCAAACAAAGGCATTTAAATTTTGCCACCTCTATATCTGAAAATTTTCAGCGTAGAACAATTCCAATAGCCAGAAAAAGTCAATAAACTCAAGGAAAACAAAAATAAAAAAAAATCGAATACATTTTAGATTTTGACTTTCACGGAAAAAAATTTGTCACCTTAAAACTCATTGAGTTTGAAATTTTTTTATAATGGATACATATGTGTTTAATAACTCCAAACCAGTTTACAAACAAAACCATAAGACATCTGAAAAAGAGTCAATGAACGGATGGAAACAAAAAATAGTTGTTCTTGGAAAAAAACGTCCATTTCTGAACTTCAAAGAAAAAATATATTCCCTTAAAGCTCTTCAAAACTCGAAAAACAAATTATGGTTGGCACTTTTTTATGCAAACAATTCAATTTGAGAAAACTTGATCAAAGTGTAAATTTCATATTCCGCTGGAAAATCCGAAAATTAAAACCCACTTTCAAAACCAGAAGTCGATCATGTTTTCGAGTCCAGAACCCTTTTTTTGTTTGATAGTGGCGTTTGTCTTCCTTTCAACAAATGAAATGAAGTGAAAATAAAACAAAACCGAAACTCAAATAGCGAAAAATCAAATTTGAGCGTTAACATTTTCCTGGAATCATTTCGTCCTCTTACCCTTTAGGAAAAAAACAAAACAGCTACGCGAGCTTCAAATAAAGGGGCTGTCGCATTATATTCAACGACGAGTAAAAGGAGGGGCTTCCAAGTTAAGAGATAAATAACAAGAATTATAAAGCTTTCTTTGACAAAATGATACTTTTTGATCCTATGATCAGTATTTCAGAAATTTTGATTCCAAGTGTAACCAATTTGCATAGCCAAAACGAAGCCAATCTAACTGCCAGTTTAGGTGTGAATTGATTCTAAACATGAGGTGAGGTATTGCAAGAACTATGAGAGCAGTTCAATAAAAAATCATATTCAATTGTTAAGAAAAAACAGCAATATACTGCGAGAAAAACGTCATTGAAAACCAAAAAAATAAATAAATTCTCATAGAACAATATACTAATTCGCTTTAAAACTCTTGCCTTATAGAGACCTGCTTTTTAGAGAAAAATATCACAATTTGGAAAAACCGTAACTTTAAAAAAAATGGAACGCAATTTTAGCTCATTTTCAAAAAAGAAAAAGAAAGACAAACTTCCAAAATTAAATCATAAAAACAAACTTATCTGAAACATTTCAAAAAAAAACAACTGAGTCAATCTATTCAATTTGCTAAAGATAGCCAATAGAAAGTTCAAAAAATGTCAATCAAATCAAGGAAACAGAAAAACAACACTAGATTTTTTTTTAATTTCTCAATTTGAAAAGAAAAAAAAACAAATCATAACAGTGAGCTAATCAACATCTGAAAAAGAAAAAAAACTTCATAATTACAAAAGACTTTTAGACAAAATTCAGGCAACATACAGTTGGAAAAGAGTCAATGAACGCAGGTAAGCTAAAAAAACTTATTTTTGAAATATATATATTTTAAGAAAAAATCGAATTTAGAAAAAACACATTTGCCTCGAAACTCTGTGTTTTTGAACTAATTTATGATTTTTAGTAAAATTAGATCAATTAGAGACAACTGGATCACTTAGTATTTTTTTTATTTCCCTGGGAAATCTGAAAACTAAAATTCATTTTCGAAATTAGAAGTCGATGTTATTTTTGTCACCTTTACACTTTCGCTGTTCGATAGTACAGCATGCATACCTTCCTTGTAACCAACGAAACGATCTGAACTGAAAAAAAAAATCAAAACACAAATATGTAAAAGTGAGCCTAAAAAATCACAAGCATTAGCCACAAAAAAAGCAGATAACAGATGCTAGGAAAATTCCAATGCTACAGATCCTGATTATAGCAAAAGTCCCACCAAAAAAATTAACACAAATTAGTTAGAAAAAAAAAAGTTCGCACTAATACACTTCGCTCGAAAGCGCGGTTGTATAAAAACCTTTAGTGTCAAGAAAGCGCAAAATGAAACTATTCCGATGTTTATTTGCGGTAACTGATTTTGCTTGGAAAAAGAAAAAACACCGAACACAAAGTTCCTCCACAATACTCCTTCATTGGTCGGAACAAAAAGAGCTCATCATGTTGTATTGCTTATGAAACATATATGTCTGTCTGATCATTTTAATTTATCTGAACAGGAAAAATATACCTTTTCGCGAAAGATAGAACAGCAGTCTAATTAAAAAGAAAAGCCGACCATTCAAGCATAATCGATGACATGGTAGCTCTAGAAGCCAAATAATGACGCTGAAATTAAATAAGAATTGCTTAAAAGACGGAAATGCCCACCTTTTGCTGAAATCAACATAAAAATTGAAAAATTATACATTCACTAGCCGCATCTGGCGATAGCTCACTATAGCTGGTCTGGCAAAACCACAAACTTAATACTGATGAAGTTATCACAAATTTTGTCCAACACAGCCTGATATATCGGATCGATTCAGACAAATTAATGAACTGAAAATTTTGAGCACTAAAATTTAATCAATGCAGTCCAGTACGAAAAATGTTTTTGACTTAATATTGCAACCCAGTTACTCGCGACTGCTTTGTCGTATCTCGCAACAAAACTAACTTCATCATCAAGACTACTACAAAATAACTTACTGTCCCAGCCCCTGCATGCTTTTGCGTTGTTTTTGAGTCAAGTCTTGAACTCCCGCGGTTCCCATGGCACCACCGGGCGCACCACTAGCTGCCATTGAAGTCCGCTGAACAAATCAAAAAATATTAACAGCTCATCTTGAAAATATCATCTTGAAATAATAGCAATAGTGAAAATGAGCAACAATAATCGGTACAAATTTAGTTTACTATTTTAAGGAGCCCCTAAGCATTTAGATTTCTAAACTCACTGAAATACTCGAAATTCTGAGTTGCCGTCTCACAAAGCATAGCTTCAATGATAATTTTTTTCCTGATTCTATGGTGCAAAAGAAAATGGTATGAAAACATCAGTAGATAGATGAAAATTGCTACTTAGGTTGTCAATTTCTAGCTTTTTGATTCTAACCCAACACTGACATCGGGTCAAATCGCTCAGAGAGTTCACAGAGCGAGAGCTGATGAACCGAGAGGCGAATGACATAGTTGTAGAGACACTATTTTGACATAGATGTGATCTACAGTTAAACTGGTTATCTGCGTCTCTACTGAATACACCAACCGACGGTTCAAATGCAGACAAGTAAGTTTTCTGTAACAAAAAATTTATTCCGTTTGCTGGACATTTGATTGTCTTTAGCGTAGCATAGGCTATTCGACTATGAAATTTTACATCTTCTTTTGGGTTCAAAAGGATTAGACGAAAGACCGAACCAGCAATTGAGCAGATAGCACTTTTTGCTCCCCTTTTGACACTTATGCAGAATATCAAAATGTTTGACTGTCATCGTTTCTACTATTTTTGGCAGTATTCCCTATCCCTATAAAAGATCAATACACTATTCAACTAGTGTAGATAAAGGTAATTATCGAACCAGGAGTAGCTCTTAAAATTCAAAAAATGAAATGAGGATAGAACGGCAAAAAAGCTCAGAACATAAGACGTTTTGAAAGTTCCAGATTCGGATCACCGACCTGAAGATTATGAATTTCAAGCCGTCATCTGCGTCAAAGTCTCAGGCACAGCCACCAATAAAACTGATAAGACGGATGCTAATAATTTGCCAATATTATGCAGCAAAAGTGTCACCAAATTAAATGAATGTAAGCAGACAGAAAAAAAAACCGACTTTCGAAATTCTAAGAAAAGAATAGATGGCCTTAAAGCCATTATGGTTGACACTTCTTTGATAAATTTAACCCAATTTGAGAAAACTGGATCAATAGGTAAACTTTTTACTTCGCCGGGAAATCTGATATTAAACTTTCGAAATTAGAAATCGATCAAGTTTTTCGTGACCTTTACACTTTCGCTGTTCCGTAGTGGAGTCTGCCCTCCTTTTAACAAAGGAAACAAACTGAACTTACAGATAAACCAAAACTCAAACCGCGAAAGAGTAAATTGCAGCCTGAACAAATTTTAATTGTTTTCCTAAAAAAAACTAGAAAAATCATCGCGACCTATATAAGAGTCTGTACTATGTTCAAGGACTCTTTAAAAAATCTGATCGAATTCGGTGTTCAGACAATTCGGTCACAGACAATTCAACCAATTTCAAATTCAGACAATTCAGTCAAAATGAGTGAGACAATTCGGCCAAAGACAATTCAGACAGTTTTAAAGTATTAAAACGTGCGCGCAAAAACTTTTCACATGTGGCAAAACATCAAAGCTTTCATTAGACGACTTATATTTAATTCATTTCAAATGCACATAAAACAAATAAAATTAACAGAAACAAAAGTACCCAAACATAATAGAACTTTACGCAAACCATTATGTTTACAATTTTAGTAGAGTACCTAAGCAAAAATCGAACTCAACAAAAACTGCACAATACTTAAGAGTTAACCAATTTACGCGAAAGTAGACCCAAGATTAGGAGTTTTACAGGCGACCAAAAAGGATTTCAGTTAAAGGGTTGACCACCCCTACCACGTACTGGCCACACAGTTACGCTGATATGCTTATCATGCCTTAGGCGGGGAGGGTGCAACCGTCAATCAGGTAATTTGGGTAGTCGGTTGAAACTAATTAGAAACTTAAACTTCTTTAAAAGATAAACTAATTGCGATTAAAATATTGTCCAACCAGAAACCAGTAACGCCTACCTTTCGCAGTTAGATTGTCCATTTACACAATTAACATTGATTAATCTTCATTAATAACTAGCTTGAACAACTGGTTGATTAGTATCTGAATAATTCTAAATCTTTCACTTTTAGCAAAAGAAATGGAAATCGTAACATCTGAACGCGGAAAAAGCATCTTTGTCTTGATGGTTATAGATACCGTGGAAAAACTAACTAAAACCGGTCTCATTAAATGGCGATGTACATTTGGAAATTGCAGAGCAGTGGGTTATATGGACGAACAGCAAGAATTCACCTTAGAAACCGAGCATGCTCATTTACCGAGCCCCTCAAAAATTCAAGCTAAGAAATTAGCTAACGAAGTTCGAGAAAAAGCCGCAAATACTGGTAACGCACCCCCCCCCCCCGACATATTGTCTTCAACGCCCAAATTGACCTGCCTCTTTATGCAGCGCCTACAATACCGAGTTACTCAACATCTCTTCGGAGTATAAACCGAATCAGGCAGCAAACCTTAGAAACAAAAAACCTTGAGAGCGTCGACGAAATTCCTGAACCTCTCAAACTCACACACAGCGGTGATACGTTCCTGTATTTTGATTCTGGTAAGTCGGACAGTCGAATTTTAGTTTTTGCAACATTACCAGCGCTAGATTTGCTTTCTCAGTCAGAAATCTGTCATTGCGATGGAACGTTTTCAGTGGCACCAGATGTCTTCTACCAAGTTTATACTATTCATGGTGTAATCGAAAATGCAATTATACCCTTGGTGTATTCTCTGCTGCCCAACAAGACTCAAGACACATATGAAAAACTTTCTGGCTGCTTAAAGCAATTTGGAAAAAAAAAAGTAGTCATTGATTTTGAAGCCGCTGTTCGCAACGCCATAAGAAAAATGCAGCCTGATGCAGCCTGAATGTCAAAAAACGATTTGCTTGGCATTCGTTCCCGTTGACGACGTTATTTTCGCTTTTGTGGCTCTCCGAAAAAAGGATTCCTCAGAGGAATTTCAGAGTCTATCGGACTATTTTGAAGACACCTACATTGGTGCCTGTCGAAGGAATAGGCGCGTCAAACAAAAGTTTGACATCGCCGATTGGAACGTTTTCAATCGGGTGCTCAGCGGTGAACCTCGTACGAACAATGCATTGGAGGCATGGAATGGCAGCTTCAATAAATTCGTGTCGACAAAGCACCCCGCCCTCTCCAAGCTGATCACACGTTTCAAAGATAAGCAAAAAATGCCGAAATAAAAGTAGAGAGACTGATGTCCGGTGATATTATTAGAAAACCGAGGCCCAAGTATTCAATCGCCAATGAGAAACACGTTCAAAACGCAAAAAACTACAATCGAGACCATGTACAGAAGTATTTAAAACTTTGTACCTTCAATGTACATATATCTTAAAACTTTATGCATAGCAAGTTTGTTTTGATCTTTGAAATTTGTTATTTGATGTTTCACATTTCTTTGCTAAAGTGTTGAAACCTTTCTGACTCTAATCACATTAGAAAAGTTTTAATTTTTCCTTTTATCTAGTCTCTGTAATCTTAATAGGCCGAATTGTTTTCGGCTGAATTGTCTGAATTTTTTTGCCTGAATTGTCTGTGGCTGAATTGTCTCTGCGCCATCGAATTCATGTCTATCGGGTGACTTGATTACCCACTCCTTTTAGCTTTGATTCCTCTTTTTACTGCAGTATGCACAGATGAGCATGCAGAGTGGCAAGCAGATAAGGTCTTTAAGTTTTGGAAAATTTGCTTATTCAACTTGGTCTAATAAAAAAATGTCAATTTTTCGAAAAAAAATTGAAAAATTTCTTCGCTTCAAAAATGCAGATCCGCTTCTGCACAGGTTGAGAAAACATTCATTAGTTGCTTGAATAAACATTCGAAATTAAAATCAACCAACACAACCAAAGTTTGCACAAAAACTGGACATTGAATCGTTCGATATTGGCTGGAAAAAAAGTTCTTCTTTGACTATTTTTAAAGTAAAAATCAAATTTTTTCGAGACACCTGGAACACTTTTTTAAAAATCTCATGCGAAATAAAATGCTACTTTAAGAGTTTCTTTATAAAATATCACAAGTAAACGTGGTACTTATTTTCCTTGAAAAAAAGCCGAAAGAAAAATTGGCGGCAGATCCACAAAATGATGCCAGAACCTGAAAACCTACACAGCTTCGAAGTAAATTTGAGCTCCAAAAAAAAGAGTCAACCAAAGAGATAGCGAAATAGTCAAGTGAAATTTCGATTTTGTTTTAATTCATACACAACACATACCCTTTTCAAGTTTTTGATCTGTTGCCTAGCTTGCCTGTCCTCCATGTGCTTCAAGGTATACTCTTCGGCGGCTATTCTAGTCGTATTAACTTTCGATTTATCACCTCTGAAATAAAAAAAATTAGGGCTATTTTTTGAAAATCTATTAAAACTTGTGTTGATCAGAAGGATATGAACTCACTTCAACTTCATCACAACCATTTGTTGCTCCTGATATTTCTTCCTGTCATCCCCGCGCATCGTGTCCTATAAAAGAAAACGCCGGTAAACCTGCTGTCAAGTAAAAAGCATAACCAGGAAATTTATTTTCCCTGTATATATTCATAAATACTTAATTCAATTCTCAAAAAAATCACTTCATAATGCTTTGTAGCGTAAAACGAGATGGGGGAAAAATCTTTACACAATTTATGACCCGATGAAACCCCAACAAAAACTGATTGCCCTAAACACTGAACGAAAAGTTTCAGTCCTTAATTTGTTTTAATATCAGTGGGCAGCCATATTACAATGTCAATGCACCAAAGCACTTAGGTAGAGCAAAGAACTAACAGCTGAGTCTGCCTCGTCCTCATTGTCACTTTCCTCTTCTGTCAGGTCCTCCGAGATGCGAGTTAGCGTGTTCTTCAGCATGACCAGCCACTTGCCCAGCTTAGTGTCGAATCTCACATGCAGTCCCTTCATCTGCCACCTGATCGACAACTCCCATACTGCCCCTTAACAGAAATTAAATTTCAGTTATTCTCAGAACCCTTAAGGAATGATTATGAACAGCTTTTTTTATTTGACTCAATCTTTGCGAAAGGAAACCGCTTCGAGCTAAGATTTAAATAGAAACTCAGTTTAAGGTTTATGTTTAAAGATACTAGCTTGCTCATGATCAGGAATAACAATTTTTGATCAATCGAATCGGCTTATTTTGGCACGTTCAGTGTCAGAACATCGATTCAGATAACCCAATAAAACAAGCGTGTCTATTTTTGTAGTCATTGCATACAGCGGCGGTTCCACGGTTTTCTCGGTCAACTAAATTGACGTTCAGAGATGTTCCAAATTACAATAAACACCCTATTTTGACAAAATTTTCTGCGAAGCAAGTAAATTTCTGAAAAGGCAGAAAAGTTACCTGCAGAGTGGGATGCAAGTGTCTTCGTCCTGGAAACTACATCCACTGATCCCTCCGGGACCCAGAAGGTGTTCATGATATAATTAGCGGGCGACACTTGACTCGAAGCCGATGCGAAATGACTGGGATAAGTATACGTCTTGGCCGTCTTCTGCGGTGGAGCGAATGAGTCTTCGATTCTGTCAATCATCCAGTTGCTGGACTTGGTGTCGAAGTCTTCTCTGAACCCCAGAGTGAATGTCTTGAATGTTCCCACGCAGAACAGACTGTTGTTCGATACTGTGGACACTGAAGTACGTTTGATTGTGAGCATCAGAACTTGTTCCAAGTCGTCCTTCCACGGACCCTGAAAAAACGAATACCTAAACAAACTGCTTCAAGAGGAATGGCTAACTTGAATTTCTTTTACAATTTCTAGTCTTTAATCAAGCGCTCTAACTTTCAGTTTAAAAGAAAAACATAGCCATAGCCAACAGACAGTTGGAAAAGAGTCAATGAACGCAATTAAACAGAAAAAACTGACTTCTTCTTTGCAAAAAAAGTCTTTTTTTTTCGAACTTCAAAGAAAAAATAGATGCGCTTTAAGCTCTTTGAAATTCTAGAACAATTGATGACTGCAAATTTTTCGATAAAAATAATCCGACTTGCGAAAACTGGATCATAGGTATATTTTTTATTTCCCTGGGAAATTAATTTGAAAATTAACCTCCATGTTGAAACTAGAAGTCGATCACTTATTCGTGACCTTTTAATTTTCGCTGTTCGATATGACCTTCTAATTTTCGCTGTTCGATAGTGGAGTTTGTCTTCCCTTTAACGAAGGAATTTAACTGAACTTAGAAATAAATCTAAAAAACAAACCTCGAAAAGGTAAATTTCAGCCTGAAAAAATTTGAAGAGTTTTCCTGAGAAAAAAACCATCGCGACCTATACAAAAGTCTGAGCTACGCTCATCGAGATCGACTCTTAACAATTTCAAAAAAAAAACAATATATTATTTCATAGTTCTGTGAAATTCAAGAACCTTCAGCTAAAATTACTTTTTTGATATAACAAAGCAATTCAAAAAATGTATCAGTAATTAATTTTTGAAATTCACTGCTAAATCTTAAGATTAAAATCAACTTTTCGAATTAGAAGCAATTTAGGTTTTTTCGAGCTTTCTACACTTTTGTAAACGGAAAAAAAAAATTGGCCTGCCTCTTAGCAAATGAAAATGAATTGAACATGAAAAGAAATCAATGACCAAACACTTGGTTCATCGACACATAAAATGGAAGAGGTTGGAGCTCTACTTTTGCAAGTCAACTTACAAATCTTCCACCAGCCTCCAACGGAACACAAACTGCTAAATCTTGAATCACGAACAGGAAATAAAGCCTGGACGAAGTCGATTCAGCTGAGCTGATTATCGATCCCGGTCGCTGTTGCGGCTCTCCTGTACTCTCGCTTTGCACATTGGTATTTTCAACTCCTTGGTCGCTCGACGTCTTCTTCTTCTTAGTCGGCGATCCTTGCTGTCGATCATCTCGTCCAGGTGAGAAAACGGCGTCGTCTCGGATATTATATGCATTATAGACGCCATTTACATTTCGTTTTTGCCTTTCAGCTGTAAAATATTCAAACGCATTTTTGTAATTGATGTAGATTTTAAATGTATGTTCAATAGCTTCTGGTTCCAAGTAAAGTTTGAACTTGGAAACCGTAACTTGGACAGCTTGTGAGTTTTCCTCATCATTTGCATCTTTGGCTGAATTCTCAAAATCTACACTGAAAGTAACAAACGCTTTTTTCTCAAGTGAATTCCTATCATCGTCATCATCTTGATGAGAACTTGGAACATTGGGAAGAGAGTCATAAGTTGATTTCGCAAATGAGTGCTTTATAGTTCCTAGCGAAGCGTCCACTGTCATTTTGCCTCTGGCTAGCATCTTCATAAGTTTCTTGTTTCGTTTCATGAAGCAGTCTCCATTTGGAAAGTTCGAGACTTCGAATTCCATTGCGTCTAGAACTAGCTGAACAGCGTTATTCGTTGGTGTTGTTGCTGTTACCCTCAAAGTCTAAAATTTTCAAAATTAGTTTAAAAGATTCCGGCTCTTTTTCCGTTTCCCCACCTGCAAAATTATACTAGTAAACTTACTGTTCACATTGACCGATTATTACAAAAAATGGGTATGCGAACTAATTGGGATATGAAAACATATGTGGTCTTCATGTTTTAACCTAGTAAAACCCATCGTTTCGCCATAAAGAGAAAAAGAGCCAAAATTCCACGTGCTTGTGGAAAAAAATGATCTTCAGAGACGAACTGAACTTTCCTAAAAACCAAGTGAGAAGTGGCAAAAAAGCCTTTAAAACAGCAAAAAAAAACAAAAAGCTTTGAAAAAATAATTAATGCTACATGCCAGAAACGAACCCCAGCCTGAAAATAAGGAGACTCATGTCTGGGCCACGATTGCTAGAAAATTTAATAACACTAGCTAACAATAAAGCAGCAACAGATGCTATTAAATTGCCCATGGTTGAGAATAACCAAGAAATGCCACCAAATTAGCACTTTTATTTGCGACTTAGGTTCGAAAAAAAAGTTGCTTCGTAGTATTACATTACCCTCTGTTGTGTAAATACCACTCACATCCATAACAAATTTAGCTTGAAGCATGAAGGGCGGCGAATCGCCAAATATCTCATCAGCAGGTCGCGGGTTTGACCCCCGCTCGGATCCAAACGATCTCAACGTGCTTTCTGGGGGTTTCCCCGCCGTAGATTGCACTATATTCCAGCCATTTGGCGCCGAATTTTCGGAAACCTTAGAGATGACCTCTTTAACCTCAGACCTGAATACTTTCTGGACAATAACGAAATGGTTCAGCAGGTCTGAACTTAAATGCTCCTCTAGTTTAGCGACATTGACAACTAGGATGAGAAAATTGCCACCCTCATAAGATCGATGACTCTGCTGTATTTTGACGAAACCTCCGGTATTGTTGGGTTTGACTATTGGCACATATATTCCTTCGAGAGAGATATTTGGGAATCGAAGATTCGCTGGTTCAGCCCCACTTTGCTACAACACAATTAATCATATCATATTAACGATTCAGTTTTCTTTAAACAAAATTTTGCCATTTAATTAAAGGACAGACCAATTTTTCAAAAAAAAAGCCTCGAAATAAAGTTGGAATAAAGTTTATGAGCTCAGGGAAACCTGAGCTCATAAACACTGTTCCACTTTTCATTCTAGGCTCAGTTTTCAGTTTTTTATTTTGATAGAAATTGAGCTTTCTCTCCCCCATCCCCCGTTCCCGCGTGGGGGTTAGCTTAATAGGTACTTGAGGAAGGTTTATAACCACTTGATATGGGTAAATAAATGAAATCATGAGACATATTCTCCAACGACTGTCGAGCACCAAAATACACAATATATCAAAACTCAAAAAATAATTTCAGTGTGAAAAACAAATCTCCATTCGAAGTCGACTCTTTTCTGTCTGAAACGGAAAAAAAATGCTGCTTCGTTTAATTAACGTGATGCAGATAAAAATTTTCGTTATTCAAATACAAAGTTATAGCAACAACCAAGGTAACTTGCTTTCCTCGAGGCATTAGTCGCCCAAACAAATGATCGAAATTTTTTTCAGATTTTTTTCTTTCTCAAGAAGTTTTCTCGACACTCATTTGAAGTAAGCTTCAATTGGTCAATGCATTGCATAACCTGAACACATCAACCATATGGTTGCGTTCCATAACGTTTTTTGTAGCGTCTTACCGTTTTTGCTTAGACGGAGAGATAGCTCATTACGGGGAGGGGGAAGATACGATCTACCCTATTCACCCTGAGTCACTTAAGCCACCACTCAAATTTAACCTATACCAGTTTACTCTGCACTCTTTAAAAAATAAAACAACCGACGACCTTGAAGAAATCCGTAGAACAACTCCGAATAATAACTTTTTCAAAGCAACGTAAATAACTCGATCAAATTGTGATCGAAGCGCGAAAGAGCAAAAACATATATGACTGATTTTGAAATGCATCGGTTTCTTGAATCAACATAAACTATATCACACCATGTCGATATAGTTTTGTGGATAATGCATGTGTTTTTAAGTCAAAAATTCAAAGATAAAATCACTGAGAAAATTATTAAAAGTTTGACAAGTTGATCACAAAAGAAAGGGTAGACCCCAGTACCAGGCCAAGGCGGTACTTGAAGGCGGGTTGAAGGAAAGAGACGAAATGGCCTCTATCGTCTCCCAAAGTCTCAGACATCTGGGACGCCGGTAACCTTATGAAGTGTATGTTTTTCGGAAAGTGACTTGAAACTTAAGAAGTTTTACAAAGTTTTGCCAACTTCACAAAGAATAGATCAATTAACATCAAATAAATAATTTATGATTGAGCCGTTGTGAAAAGTATATACAATTTATGTTACTCGTTCGTTCAATTCAGGGAATTTCCGAAGACTGGGTTCACATAGTCCAGGAACGTAAAAATAGAAAAACGATTGCCTTGAAATAGGGCAGTGACACCAAGATGCAATCTTTTTACGGCATTTGTTGTTCTTAGCAGGCCAGCAGCTGCTTCTTTTAAGTGATTTCACAAAGTAAATTTAAATAACGACTCGGTTGCTGCGGCCTACTGTCACCTCTTTGATGTAGCTTTCTGAAAATAAAAAGCTACCCAATCCAGCTTTTCATTGCAAGTCTCATATTGCTCAAAGCGATCAGCATCTCTCAACTTCTTCGATGATTTGATCAACCGCAATGGTAACCATGACGAACAATAGGAAACTTATCACAGGAATAAGCCTTCGTTCCAAATCGTTTCAAAGCAAATTCGTAAAATTTTCGATTAAAGGCTTGAGTTAGATAAAAGTAGCATCCTTTAAAATGAGCTTCGGGTTAGTGAGAAGAGAATGCGTTGAGAACAGCACGCAAAACTCGAAGAGGATACGGCTGGGCTAGGCGTTTTGCTTGACAAACGGTTGAGACTTGGAGAAAAACTTCTTCGAGGTATGCTCTTGTTTACTTGGAAGCCTGAATTCACGGGGGGTTAATAACTGTCAATTGAATATGGACTTGTATTTAATTGATACAATTGTATTGGGTATATTTCGAAGGTACCATCACAAAACCATATTCATGGTTCAACTCAAGAGCATTGTCGCGGTCGCCAATAAATAAATACTCTTTCGGCATCTTTGATAACGCTGTCGCGAAGGCAGAAGCTCTCAATCTGCACGGTATGTCAAATTGCCTATCAGAGATTGGTGGCGCGAATGGTCCTTCTGCTGACTTTTTGTCGATTTAGAGTCCTGTTTATCGCAAACCGAGACGGTACAGCTAGTCGCCCAGGTTGCAATTTAAGTGCTGTTTACAGGCACGTGCTGGATTTTGCTATCGTGTTTTATCTTCTGAACAAGAATTCGTGCTTCCAAAAAATTCGTGCGTGGGATAATTGCGTGAGGAAACCAGATCATCGCCAATTGTGATTGCTGTCACCTTGCAATTGAGGGAGTGCCATCTTGAACATTTCCAGTGTTCGTTTCCTATTTGTTTAACAAAGCGCTAAATTGCGTCTTCGCAGCAAAAAGCTTGAATTTGCTACTCAATTGAGTCCTTAAATCTAACCTTATGCAGGTTAAAAAGTTATAATTTGGTATTTAACTAGTACATCAAAGAATTTAACTAAGCGAAACAATTGAATTTAACTAGCGAAACAATTGAATTTAACGAGTGAAACAATTGAATTCAAGCTAAATTAGTATAGGGTAAGTTAAAAAATAGGGTAAAACAGCATAAGCTAAGTTGGAACATCGGTTAAAATGCTAAAGGACAATTTGATTGAGGATATGATGGAATGAGGTAATATGTCCTGTTACGGGGGGGGGGGGGGGGAGATTGATCCAAAGTGTCTTCACTACGTTACGTTCATTGACACTAAAAAACCTCCTCTAACCGACATGTCTAATAATAAATCAACGTATTCATTAATACTTAGAAAATGAGCACACTCACAAACTGGAGGAAGTGATTGTCCAGGATCACTTCGAATCCAATGTTTCTAGAGTTCTTTCCGAATGCTCTCAGGTTAGTCATCTGATAAGCCGCAGTGAAGTCCACAAGAAGCGCCGTCTTGATCTCCAACTGATCCAGGCGAGCCTAAATTCAGACATTTAAGTTAACTTTTCAGTAAATCAGTGAAATTTATTACATATATAACGGGATCAAATCTGGGAGAAAAATAAGACATCGCCTAGTCAATAATTTTTTTTGTTTCCAAAAGCAATGACACGAAACTACGAGCTGGAGATCTTTCGTTAGAGGAAAGTCATTGTGCCCCTAGTAGACAATACAATGTCATACTATATTTGGTATTTTTATAAAAGACTGACCTTAAAATGGGTCTCGCGAGAACTATCACATTTCAAGTTATCGATTGGAACATCAGTTGTCTCTTCATTTTCATTTGCATCTCCGAAGTGAGCGCGAATTCCGTCCTGATGATCACCGGGAGACCCTCCAACTGACGAATTCAATCCGGATCTTTGAGATGCGTGGGGTTCCTTGGGCGAAATACCAGAAGCTGCCTGGCCTGTTTGGGGCATCGGCGCCAACTTTGATTTCAATTCTGTGATTCGTTTACTAGTTTTGTCAACTGTCTGTCTCAATGCTGATGGCTGCAATGGTATGTTCAGAGATACATCTCTAATGTTGAACCAGATATAACTTCTTTTTTGCTTGTCCATCTTTTCTTTTGAAGAAATGACCAGCCCTGTGTTTTTGACAATGAATGTCATAATCGACTGATTATAGGTTGCAGCAATCGAAGCCCCACAATGATCTGCTTCTGTGACTGTTATGTCGAGTTGTTTCATATTAGCGGTAATATTTCTGTCAGTCTCCTTCGACTTCCTCCCTACCCTGGATTGTCGACCCCAATAAGAAACATTGAAAGTATCGAAATATGTTCTGGTTATGAGTCCCCCTATTTCAGTGCAGAACTCAGCTGCGAGCCACGATGCAATGACATGTGTCACGATTCGTCCGGGAGAGTCGTCTTTGGCGTCATCAAACGATCTCCCGTTGAAGTCTTCAGGGAACCATTGAGCATCATTTTCGTCGGCTAATTGAGATTTCTTGTAAATGAATATCCAGCAATCATCGCCTTCATCGTCTTCAGTTCTTTCACTGATAATCGAAGATCTGTTATGCGATCCGTTATCGAAACTCGGTTTCGTTCCAAACGCTTTCGTGTTTATCTCGTGGTCCTTCAAGACCCGATTCCAACCCAGCTCCTCGTGAATTTTTTGCACAGAACAGTAGATTTGGTTGATCAACTTTACGACTGAAAAGTCTAATTTATAAGTTGTCTTAGCCAAGGTAATGAGACAATCAATAAACAGGCTATTCCTTTGAGATCGATTCTTCAAGCGGGTTAGTGTGCTTTTCCGTAGTGTCGACTGCTGTTCTTTCAGACTAAAGTTCACCTCGAAATTTTGGGTGCAGAAAATTGGATCACGTTCTTGGTTTTTCTTCTGCTTTCGATAACTCTTGCTGCTAAATGCATGCCCCGACTTATCTGTTTTCGAGACAACGTCAATTCGGAAACTCAAAATTTTTCCACAAACGAAAACTTCGCGTCCAAAAATTTTAGTGAATTCATATTGCTCCGCGTTGTCTTTGTAAGCTTTGACAGCGTGCAAAAGAGCTTTGAAGGAGTTGAACGCTTCCTTGTCTTCTGACTTCTGTTCCGATTGTCGGCCTTCATGAGCTCCTCTTTTCCACTCGCGGCGACTTGCACCGACGTTGCCCTCGTCCGAGGCCGCATTCAATGACACGTCCTCTGAACTTCGTCGGCTCAAAACACTCATCGTGTTTCGGTTTTCGTTAGGAGATACCGTGTCTGAGAACTTGAATGTATCCGCTCTTAAGTTCGGGCTTGTTTCGTTAACCTCAACTCCGTCAGGTAACACGCTCTGCCGAATTCCTCCTGTAAGTCGTGCCCGGGCTGACGATCTTGCATTGCCAGCTCCTCGCTCGCTATTCATCAGCCACCTATAACATCGATGTTCAGTTTGATATCACAATGAAACCATACCTTATAAACATAGCCAATAGACAGTTGGAAAAAAGTCACTGAAGGAAAATAAACTGTAAAAAGCTGACTTTCGAAGTTCAATGACAAAATAAATGGCCTTAAAGCTCTTTGAATTTGAAGAACACTTTATGATTGCAACGTTTTTCACACAGAGGCGAAACTGAGCTTCGCACCATTTGCGATACTTTAGATCTATCAAAATGAATGACGATAATTGAGAAACAACCATACCAAAACAATCGAATGCTGCAAAATCAGCATCGGAACAAAATAAACCAAGTGGTTACAAAGCCGAAAACATCTAAGCAGAAACTTTTCCAGCCGTTTTTTTTAAAATTCATATCTAATTTAAAAATGTTACGTCCCATTCCCTCTCATAACACACAACTGCAACAAACAATTATTTCGCGCATCGAAGCGACGTAAAAAAAGGCTATTAAGCCGATATAAAACAAGAAGAAACCTAACAAGCCGAAAAAAAAAATGAAAATTCAACAAATAATTTTTTGCAACCAAGGCAGATGGAACGTATAAATTGTTTTCCCTTGAAACGCCCCAAAATTAGGTCACTAAGCCGATGAAAACTAAGCCCAATTAATTTAGGTCGAACGAAGTTTATAAGCAAACCAAAAAAAAGACATACAAAATCAAAGTAAGTAAAATTACCGGCAAATTAAAAAATCAAACACGTAAAGCACCATTCAAAACATGCGCGCAGCAAAAACAAAACGATTCTAAGATGGGACAATTAAGTCGACAAAAGATAAGCAGACAATTTTTTGGCCGACAATTTTATTTGAAACAGAATATTTTCCGTTTGAAAAAAAAAACAGGTTCTGGTCAGATTCGAACAAAGGACCTTTGCGTCCCAGGCGTATTCGTAACTTCCAGCTAAAAGGGCCGGGAAGGCTAAAAAATTTAAATTAATTGAGAAACAAGGTACCACTAGAGATGTGTCCAGAAGTCTAGATGAGATTACTCCTGTGAAAAAAGTTATTTACGGGAAAAAACACCCGACTGCAATTAGGTAAAAATTTAGTAGGCTGGGAAATCTGAAAACTAAAATTCAATTTCGAAATTAGAAGTCGATTACATCTTTCGTGACCTTTACATTTTTGCTGTCCAATAGTGGAGCTTGTGTTCCTTTTAACAAAGCAAATGAACGGAACTTAAAAAAAGTCAAACCGCGGACAATCAAATTTGAGCTTAAACAAAATTAGACTTGTCCTGAAAAAAAATATAGGAGTATTCACTACGTTTTTCGACTCTCAGAAAATACCAAGACTCATTCAAAGCACAACACACTTAAAATAGCTATCGAACAGTGCAGCATAAATAACTACCTTGGAAACTATTTCGACAATAAATCAGCCGGAAAAAAATATAAACGCAAAAAAAAAAACACTAGTAAATTTTCTAGCAGAGGCAGATTTAAGGAGGGCGTCGGACACCTCCTCCTTCTCTCGGGTATTTGACCTCTTCGCCAATCAAAGGGTCAAGGGTCCCCCCTCGTTATTATTTTATGACATCCGTTTTCGGCTACCAACCCTAAAAATTTTTTTAAGGCGCCAATACATACTAATTTTGAACGAAGCGCGCGAAAAAAAAACGCAATTTTTGGTCCAGAAAAAATCAAAAATGTCAAAAAACTGCAAACATAGATTTGTATAATGTTATGGAAACACCCGGATAATCAATTTGGTCGACTTAAAAAAGGGGTCGGCAAAATTTTCAAAAACTTTTTGAAAATCTACTGGTCCCACTCAAAACAATCCTAGATCTGTCCCTATTCAGAAATTTATGCAGTTAAATACACTTTCGAAACTGAAAATCATTCATCCTTCTCCGCGTAATTTCTATTTTCCCAATTGGAGAGCATATCTTTGCCTTCTTGAAGCCAATTATCTTGAATAGAACATCGAAAATCAAACCGCAAAAAAATCAGATTCAAGCGTGAACGTTTTTCTAAAAAATAAAAAAATCATGATCTATATGAGAGTCTTCGCCTCAGCTTATGGTCGGAATAAACTATGCAAAACGGAATTCGAACCACGAAGCTCACAATAAGCGTCACCTGTTTCAGCGCCGCTCAGCTACTAGTGCTGACTGAACCTCAAACAAAAGCAATTGAACTGATTGATATAGCTAATGCAATTAAAAGCTGTCAATTAGACACAAGTGCGGAAAAACTCAGCTCCCTGCTGAATTAATAAAGCTAACGAATTAGCAGGAAAAAATCAGGAAAAAAACCGAATGTATGGATTCGTTTTACTCGAATCCATACATTTTAAGAAAATTACTTTAAATCACTGACCTTTGCACAGCTTCTTCTGATTTCACAGGTTTTTCACGTTCGATGTCAAAATTTTCGAGAGTCATCATCGCGTGGTCTTCTTCGTTATCAATTGTGTCTTCGTTTTCAGACTCGTCTTCGGCTTGTGATGTCACGTCTTCTCCGATTTCGCCAATCGCGGGCAGTCGTTGACCTCCGACAGAAAAATCTGCACCTGTTGGTGAATACAATTTAGAGTCCTGACCCTGGCTGCTTTCAAGGTCGTTTGCATCGTCGATATCAATTCGAGTTTCTTCTACATGTGGTACCAAAATTGAACCTCTAGATCTGCCTGATTTGCCAGTTGAGTCTATTTTTGAACCTTTATTTTTCTCATTTACATTCGCTGCGTTAGCTGTAGTTGATTTTGGCTTTGAGTTTTGCTTTCCAGGTAAGTTCGTATTCCTGTTATTTTTCGCTATGATTTCGCATAAAGTATACAACGCATGGTACAGAGTATCGAGGGGCAACAAGTTTCTCTGAAGAGTGTAATCCAAAACTACAACATCAGCTGATGGTAATTTTTGAAACAACTTCATTAAAGTGCGCATCGACAAATCATGTCTCAGTTTCTTCGCCAGTGGAGTCAAATGGTTCTCAAAATCACAACTTGGAGCTTTGATGTCGTAATCAGGCCTGTCTGGAGCGAAGATGAACAGATACAAAACGGACGACAGAACCGAAGCGATTCTCATTTTATTTTCTGCATTCATTGATTTTATTGCATCTTTTAACTCGTCAAATTGCTTCAGCCAAGCAGCAATAGTGAATGTTCCAGTAGTCAATAAATTGTAGTCCAACGTGAGCTGTGGCTGGGGTTCGTTCACTAGGGTATCTCTTGCCGATAATCCGTGAGTCGAAGCTGCATTTCGATTTTCGGGAGAAGCGACATTAAACCAAATTAGGTCAATTACAGCTGACGCTTTGCTTGTATCCGAATATTTAAGAACAGTTGGTTCGTCTTTTATCGGGCCCTGATGTGATCCAGAACCATGGAACTGGTTTTGCTGATTGAACTCTTCTGAAACGGAATTTGACCTCTTTGACTTTCGCTTCGCTGGGTCATGGTACCCAACAAGTTTGACCCCGCTCAGATTAATAGAGTTGAACCCTCCTTCTGTCATGATCCAGCCTGGGTTTGTGTTTGATTTCGGATTTACGACTGCAAATGAACATTGAGACATGTCTTGGGCTATATTTGTAATATATTCGTCTTTGCCAGTCAGTTCGGCCGACTTCAACTGTTGCATTTGCGCTTCGACCTGACTGAGGGAGCTCTTCACGCTTATTTCGACGTTGTCTGCAATGTTGCCTTCCGGTGACAAGACTTGCTCTTTCTTGGAAAGGAAATTTGCATCGAAATTGATCAGACGCATAGAAAGCAGAGATGCTCCAGATATCTGGGACGCATTTGGGAGAACTGTATCATCCACTAAAGCCTGTAGCACGTTGAAATTTATCTGAAACACACAAACATTAAATTGTTAATAATTTTAAAAGCAAAAAAATATATATTGTCTCAAAAACAATTTTGCAACTTTAAAAAGATAACTCAATATCTCTAAAAATATATAGCTGCGTACCTCTGATATATTCAAGGAAAACGTGAAAGAATGTGCAATAGGATCCGGAACTGGTTCCACCAACGTATCCGGACTGCCATCTGTTGCGTCAATATCCATTCCGCCAGTAACAATCCCAGCTTTGTTTCCTAAGCCTTCAGCAGAATTCAGTTTGGTTCCTCGTGAAGGCTTTCTATTATGGGTTTTCTCAACTTCTAAAATCATATCGTCAAGGTCCTCAGATGACAGATGTTTAACAGCCGCAGATACACTTGACTGGTGAATTTGGAACAGAACGTTTCCAGGATGACTGGATTTGATGTAAGAGGAGCAACAATCCAGGTACCTACAAACGGCTCCAATCATCAAAGGCGAGAACAGTGCACAAATGGGTTCCTCGAAATTGACCATCACTTCTGTATGCTCTTCTCCTGGTTTCGTCGTATAGCACGGCGCTGTTCTCCTTTGAGAACTTGACCTTACAACAGTTGAGACTCGCTGACCAGGATGCTTGCCCAAACCTCCTGTAGTGCTCTGTGTGGACTGTCGTGTTGTATTAAAAAACATACCCGGCTGATTTTGGTTCGAAGCAGAAATTTTATAGTCTAAGGGGTCTCGCGGGTTGATCATGTTCATGTCCAAGCCAGGTTCAACTATGCGACTCTTGATATGTCCATCAGAGTCAACGTGAACAACAGTTTCAGCCAAAGGGGAGAAAGGACTTGAGACTAGAAAACTGTTGTCAATTTCGTCCTCCGCTTCCTTAAAATCCATCTCTACTTGAGGCAGTAAGAACTGGTAGTACGCTAGCAACCTACAGGAACAAGCAAATATACGTCCATTTAATGACACGTTATAAACGTTAAGCAGGTAATCCAAAATATTTGCAATAGAACCTTTTAAGAATTGTCGTTGCAAATGGGAGAATTAGTAAATTTTGAACATTTTAGAAAATGATGCTCGATTAATCGATTATTAAAAAAAACATGACAAAAATCAGTTGGTCAAATAATTCTTAAATACATTTAGATCCGACAAGTCTTGCTTTCAAAGATCCATTTTCTCGTCTTATCAAAAGAAGCTCTGATTAAATAGAGGTGAATTTTATGAACACAGCTCTTAATATTCAAGAAAATTTTGAAATCTCAGGTAAGATAGAAGATTGAGCGTCAAGAATAACGAAATGCCTGTCACTTTGAAAGAACATACTTTTCGTTTTCATTGTGATTCGCACTTGATTCCGAAGTAGCAGATGCTGTACTCCTGGTGAACTCATTTTGCCCACCAATCAAACCTCCGCCAATGTCCAGAGGATCCAGGTGACCAACCAATGTATTCTGAACAGTTGAACCTATTCCATATGTCGCCTGCGTATCAGCTAGCCTCTCAGAAGGGAAGTGATCTCGTTTGTCTGCAGCGGTTACGTCAACTTGTTGCCAATTTCCAGAAATTCCTTCGCCCGTGATGTCGCTGAGCGCAGACTTGAAAGACTCGGTCAGAGACGACTGATCATCGTCTCTCTCGTCGTTTATTTTGAACAGTCCATCGGATGTCTGCTTCTATAAAACGTTCTAAATTGTGAGCTAAAACCATGTAGGTTTTTTAAATCAGGAAATACACAAATTTGAAAAATATTGACATCAGAAAACTTGAAGGGTTTCAAAAATCATCATAACATTTTAAACTAACTTTGTGTCTTTAAGGCTATTCTTTTCCTTTTAGTATCAAAAAGGTCAGCTCAATTAAGTGAAAAACTCATTTGCAAGGTTCCAAGGCAATTCTTTTTTACTCGGTAAACTTCATTAGCATTCTTGCTTAAAAGTAAAAAAAACATCCTACTGTAAGGTTGAGAATTTCAAGTTCGGTTAGTTTCGTATATCTAAGTTTTTGAAATTTTTTTAAATCATAAAAAACGCCATATCTCGAGACCAAAAAGATTTGAGTAGTCTGACAGCACCCACCATAGACTTCAGAATACATAAAACATAAAAGAATTTAGCAGTCAAACATGGATGCCATGTTTGCGACCTCTGAATGTACCGTGGCAGCATTATACTATAGGGCTGAGAATTTCAAGTTCGGTTAATTTTTTTTACATCTAAGCTTTTTGAAAAAAAATTGAAAAAATCATAAGAATTGCCACATCTGGGGAACCAAAAAAATTAGAGCAGTCACTTGGACACAAGGTTTTCTAATCCTGAGTGCTGAGTTTACTCTGACAGCAACCCACTATGGCTTTCAGAATTTCAAGTTCGGTTAGTTTTTTAATATCTAAGTTTTTTGAAAAAAAAATAAAAAATCATAAGAAAAGCCATATCTCGAAAACCAAACGGATTTGAGAAGTCATACTAGACGCCAGATTTGCAACTCCTGAGTGTATCATAAAAGCAACCTATTACATGATTGATAACTTAACAGCAATTTTAAAAAATTGTGAAATAAATTTTATAGTTTTGCCTAATATAGAAAAACTGTAAGAGTTAAAGCAATCGCGACTCCTTTTTAACAGACCAACCTAGCGACTCCTTAAACATGTGTCACGTGAAACGCCAATTAAATAATAGATAGATGATATAGCTTCAACGTAGAAAAAATCTTGCGTTAAACATGCAAAAATCATACGTGGAAAATGCTTAAGCATGTCAACATAGGGACTGCCTAAACACGTGTCAAGTGAAACGCGAATTAAATAATAAAGTATAGATTTGTTTTTAAATCATCCAAGAGTATTTGAGCAGTCCACAGATAGTCCGATTGAACAAAAATTTGGCAAGTTAATTTTGAAAAAAAAAACGTCGAATCCATGACAACACACAAGCGTTTGCTGCTAAAAGAATATACAAAAAAAATCAGCAATTTGCATAGCATAAGACATAAAATTCTGAAATGTCTTCGTAGAACAGTTTCAAATAAATCCTAATTACAACATGAAACAATTTTTTAATAGTGCGAGGGCAATTTATCTATGAACAATCATTTGGTTTGCTCGCTGGCAACATTGCCTGCAGCTGTGAAAAGGAAAAGCATCGAATGTTCGCGCCTAATTGTTCTGAAAACCAAAATATTTAACTTTTTTGATACCGCAAAAAAATTGAATCTTTTATTAGAATCTAAATTGCGACTGTAGGAGCTTGAATATTACATAAGTCGGTTTTTACGACGTGGTTTTTAGTAGCATATTTTGTGTGGAATAAAAACACGCGAAGGCATAGTTTGGAACAAAAAGTATACATCGACACACAGGCAATTTCGTACCTCACTTGGATCTGAATTGTATGAAGACCGCTTTGACAGTTCCACATTGCCTGCTGAAGTGCGTCTTTTTTGATGCGAAAGGGCACTCTTTGAACTGTTTGTTGAAGTGCTTGCTTTCTGCGATTGGGCTCCGGGTGCGTTCGAATCCAGACTGGAACTCACCGCATTTGGGGGAGATTGACCTATCTTCTTTGAACTTGAACTGCTTGCTCGCGTGGAACCCGATTCAGTCTTAGGCACTGTGTTATATACATTGGCCTCACTTGAAAAAGTAGGAGTAGAAATTTTACCAATCTGAGCAGGCAAGCTGCTATGAGCAAAATTGCTATCGTAATAATGTTGTTCTACAAATGTGAATGACTGTTGGTGATCAGAAGAAATCGAACTGGCCGATGGTGTTTTATGCCGAATCACAGATTGAGGACTGCCTGTTACTGTGGTTGAAATACTTGAAGATAATTCTGATTTGTTCAATTCGGTTAAAGTCTTTTCGGCTTCGAAGTCGATGCTGGGACTGCACGATCTGAAGTTCTCTTTGGAAGAGGCAGTCACTCGGTTGACTACGCCTTCATGTTTTAAAAGGGCAAAAGGGTGATCTGCTGCTTGAAACACTGGGAAGCGGTACTTTCTGTTCTTATGATGCAGGGGAACGCCAACGGTTCCTCCGATTTCGCCTTAAAATAAAAGTAAGCAATCAAGTTAATTTTATTTGAACTTCTAAAACACTATATTCAACAACCACCCTTGAACAAAAAAAAATCTGCCATTCGCCTCGGGCATTTTTTAGGTCGATTTTGGTTTATATTCTTTCCCAAGTGATTTAATTTTACAAATATTTATTCTTGTAGATTATACATTCATTCCAACCTGTAAAATCATCCGCTATGTTTGGCGCCTTTTCTCTCATGTCATAAATACTCAGTGCTTCGTAATACACAGTCTCTAGTAGCGTCGTCCCGAAGAACGCACAGTTACCCCGGCATCCGCATTTCCCAATCGGAAACTTCCTGTAGACATTGGAATCGCCAGATCGGCTTTGAAGAAAAAACAGCTTTCTGCTTTGGTCAACTTTGGTCAAAAACTCTCCTTGCTGTCTTGTTTTCTGCGAATTAGTTACTGCTTTTGATACGTCAGTGAAAACGGGGCCAAACTTGATGCCTCCTGATTCTACCCACGTTTTTTGACCTGATGGGAACCTGAGACCGCAGCTGGTGACAAAGTGGCGAACTGAGACCCTCTCAACGTGTAAAGTACCTCCAAGGGCTGAGTCGGGAGTGTGGAGATTGCACCAGCAGACTTTAACTGGATATATCTGGAGTTCAAACATGTCGTAAAAACTGTATGAGAGTGGAACTCCTTTTTAAACGGAAAGCTTGCAAATGGATAAAAATCATCCTCAGAGTTTATGTTTATGGTAACAACCTACTAGTCAAATAGTTCGAAAACTCCTAAATAGCCACGGAATGTCTTTAGATGGTACAAAAATAATCAAAACTTACGTTGATATTTGATATCAAGTCCGGCTCCAGAATGTTGAAGTCAATACTGTCCACGTGGATCCTGACCATACGATATTTCAGGTCTTCACTGCTCACACACAAGTTGTCCTCTTTGGTTGCACCCGAATCAACCTTATCCGGTATGTTTATGGTCACACTGGGCCCCTGTTTTGAAGTAATCTGCAAATCTTTGGGCGTGTTTGCGGCATTTTCCGAGGTTTGCTTATGCGTGCAATCATTTCTTTTTTGACAGTGCATGCAGTACCTGTCAAATTAATCATCATCATCATTTCTAATTGCATATCTAATTTGAAAACACTATTCGGCATCTAAACACCACTGAAAAATTATGAAACATTCTTGATTCTGACCCTGGGGGTTGCTTAGTCATAGTTCACATTAAAACTAACCCCATCTCGAGAGGTCCGGTTTGAAGCTGACACGATGGGTCCGTCATCAGAAAAACCATGCCTTGCACTACATTTGCTAAATCCAGCAACTGTGAGATTGTAACTTTCCCTCTCAATGGTAACAATTTAACTTCTGTCAGCCATGCGTACTCAATTGAAACACTTTTGTCTTTTGTCTCCAGGACATTCGAGAACCCTTGCAGACGTAACTGCAGTCCTGCCAACGTTATTCGATTCCTCTCTGAATTACATTTCACGCTTTCTTGAAGACGCAAACCGTTCCTTTGACCTCTTGTCGGAGTCCGAGAGCTTGTTTTTCGGTACCCTTGGGTTCCGTCGTTGATGGACTGAGGCATGGTCTCAAAGTTGGTTTCACTTTTGGGAAGAACTACAGTAATGGGAGCCGCTATAAGTTGGAATCTGAACTCTTTGAAAGAGCTAGAAATTTCCAGAAGTATCAAATCTGTTCGAATAACAGGGCATGCTTCGTTAATTCGCAAATATTCGGGAATATAGACGCATACATTGGTAATGGGTATAGATACAGATACGTTCATAGGTCGGTTTGAAGCATAGAATTTGAGATTTTGATCGTTTCCATGTTTGGTTTGAGCGCACTAAACGAAAAAAAAAATTAAAAAAAACTTGAAACCTTCATGCATCTCAAATCTTTTATGCAAATGTTGGAATAAAATAAAATCGAAGTTGTGAAAGGCAATCTCCTAACTACCAAACCAGTAGTTTTGCACTTAGCAAACACAAGGGACGAAACGCCAAGTAGCTTCAAAAATAGATACAAAAAAGGTGGGTGCAAAATGTGTTTTGAAAAACAGATGCCATCTATGGAAATCAAACCTCCAGGACTCGTGCATCCACGTCGAATGCAAAATACAGCAAGTGCCACCAACAAAATGAGCACTATTTTATGGAAAGCTTAAACTCGTAATATTACAAACTGCTCGCTCGCTCGATTTGGGTAAAACATAGTCAACAGACAGTTGGAAAAGAGTCAATGAACGCTAGAAACAGAAAAAAAACTGACTACTTTTTGAAAAAAACCTTCACCTCTCAATTTCAAAGTTAACACAAGGCAAAGCTCAGCTTCGCACCACATGCGATACAAACCAAGAAAGCCAAGCGATACAAAGCAAGAAAACCTCAGCTTCGCAGCACATGCGATACAAAGCAAGAAACCCTCAGCTTCGCACCACATGCGGTACAAAGCAAGAAAGCCTATAAAAAATCGAAAATATCGAAAAAACTAGACCTCGCAAAACAAACAAAAAAATGGAAGTATCAAGCGATAACAAACCCGAATAATTACCAAGCGGTGATAAAGCCAAAAAATCCTTGGCAGAAAAGACAAAACTTAAGATTTATACAAAATTCGAAAGTCCCCATCACTCGCACAACAAACAGACACACACACAAAACTTTATTGCACGTCGAAAAAACCAATATGAGTCCAATAAGCAAATATAGTATAGCCCGAAACCTATTAAGCAGAAAAAAAAAGAAAACAAAAAAGTCGAAAAACAAACTCAACAAAATTTAAGTCTAATAAAAAGTTATTAGATCCCCTAAAAATTATCGTAAAAGTTAAAAATTATCGTTCTTTTGAAACTAATCCAAATTATGTTAATATGCCGATAACATTTGGTCAGATTTAAGTTTTTCAGCGATAAAAAAGAAACAAAAAAAAGAAAACAAACGAAGTCAAAGTTAGTTAAATTACAAACAAACAGAAGAAGTGAATGAAAACATTAGAAACAAATACAAGGTAACTTGCTATCAGCAAAAAAAAAACAATTCTACGATGTGGCAACTGAGCCGATAAAACATAAGCAGGCAATGCCGTCCCAGGCGTATTCTTTACCTCCAGACCAAGTGCGCCAGAGACACAAAGAAACTTAAATGTATTATGAACTGAACGTAAATTTACCATTTCTAATTTCTAATTATGTGAACAAAGTTATTTACGGGAAAAAAAGTCTAGTATCCGATTGCAATGCCCCCTGCTTATCGCAAGGATCAAATTTTACGATTAAGATTGACACTTTTTTTGATAAAATCAACTCATTTTGAGAAGACTGAATTAATAGGTATAAATTTTACTCCGCTAAGAGCTGTAAAAACTAAATTACACTTTCGAAGCTAGGAGTCGCTAACGTTTTTTTTGCGCTATTTTCATGTTTGTATTTGAAGAGTGCAATTTAACTAATTTTCAGCACTCCGAAATTATGCTTTCCGAAATGTCATCAAAAGAGCATTTACAGACCTGTTGCGAATCATCCATGGCCACTCCAGTTTGCTGATTACCAACAACTGCGTTGTTATTTGGACTGGAATTGTTTCCTCTCTTCTTGTGATTTCCTTGCTTGTCATTTGATTTCCTTTCAAACTGTTTCAGGGGAACATCTGCGAAAATATTCATAATGAAAGCATGCAAATGTTTCAGAGCCACTCCATATCCAATTCCGACGAGTTGGTCAAAGGTCACACAAATCTCCAGTACATCTGGTTCTATCTGGGACATAAACCTGGGCTGATTTGCAGCAAGAGGATCAAGTGGGTTCGAACTGACTGAAGTCTGGTCGAAAGTTTTCAGCTTTCTTGTATTGAACTTGGGGGTCCGTTTTGGCAAGGACAAATTATACCCGCTGACGTTCCCGTTCTCAGTGTAATACACAGGATGGTAACGATGGTCAATTGCCACTGATAAGTGTCCACACTGGATGAACTCAATCGCATCGGAAGACGGAAAAGTGTAAAACCGTTCAAACATCCGATTGTTTGCAGAAGACGAAAGCAACCCTCCGGCGCCATCTCCAGAACTCAATTCTGCATCGATTCCTGCTCCAAATCCTGCTGTCTTGAATCGGGAATCGAAACCAGTTAGCTCCTTCATTGACATCGCGAGGCTTCTCAAAATATGCTTCGATGGAAAACTGTCGGGAAGATGTAACGCAACGTCCAGATTCGAAGCTTCAAAACTGAACTTGTTATTCAACAATGCAGGGAGAAAATCTAAGAAATTGAAGTCCATAGTTCCTGTTATTTTCTGCGCATTTATGAACTTGAATGCATTTGAATTGAGAAGATCTTCGTTTATATCTGGACCAGCTTGGTTCTCCTTATTTCCATGCGATTTCTTGTTTTTGCTATGCGATCGGGCATTTGTGACCCAATTTGACTGATGAACAGGAAACACAGCTTCAACTTTTTCGAAATCCACGTTACATTTATACCGTACTGGAATGAATTTGAGAAGATCTGGTTTGTCTTTAGAGCCGAAATCGTTGATTATACTAGCTAAAGATTGTTTCAGAATTGAAAGATAGAAAACGGAAATTCGACGCCCGGAGATATCGAATCTCCAATGCTGCGGGTAGTTCCAAAATAAAGGAATGTCGGCTTCCAAGCGAACTTCAATTGTATCGCCTCGAATAAAGGAGGGGAACTCAGAAATGTTCGAATTAATTCGACATTGTTTCAGCTGTATGTGACAGGTGTTTTTATATCCTGTTGGACCTATGGTCAGGGGCATCTTGTACTTGACAAACATCGCATCCGTCTTCATTTTGAAAACTTGCATATCCTGCAAAAAAGGGAGAAATCATTTCAAGAACAAAATTATTACAGAAGTATTGGAAAATATCAACAGCAAAACCTCTTGTCCAAAAAGTGATCAAAGTTCAAATGATAAAAATGAACTTTACAATTAAAATGATCCTTTCGTTCGATGACCTAATTTTTTGGTAAGTTGATAACCCACTGCAGTTTGTGTTGCTTCCTTGTCATTGAACTTGAAGTCCACTAAGCTATCTGCAAACTTCACACAAACACTCAATTCCAATGGGCTCCTAAGACCACCAGGCTGAGGTTCGGTAGTGGGAATCTTCAGGTCATACGTCATTGGAAAGAAATACTTCTGCAACTGGGCTCTTTTCTTGTCTATATACGGCGAGTAGCTCAGTCTCGAGTGTCCTGTAAAAGAGATGTCTACTGTCCGTAGTGGAATCGGGAGCGGATTGCTATTCGTGTCTGCTTCCTGCAACTCGCTGAAGCTCGTGTTTGCCGAAAGAGGCATCCGGTATGGCATGTCCCATTTCATTCCTATTTCAACCCTTTCATTGGATTGCACTAGGATACAGGTTTCAGGAGGCCTGTAATGGGCAAGCAACATTAATTCAACAGATACACTTTGACATGTTTTGATGTCTTTAAAAACTATGATTGGAACTAGTTAACCCTTAAATTTAAACTGATCGGTAATGAAACTCCTCAAATCACAAGGTCAGAATCATTAATAATCAGATAGTTCATTTTAAAAAAAAAACGAAATCGTTTTCTTACTTTTCAGGGTTCAAGTACGTTTTGAAGTTTCCAATCGTGTTCGGAGCAGTCGCTTTATTCGCTTCCGGCTCGTATAAGCTCTGTTTTGGGACCATCGACAACTTTGTCTCATTTCGCATGGTGATTTGCACTTTGTGACTCGAAGCGACAAGAATATTCGAATCTTCAATTCCATTGGCAGTCGAGTGTTGGGGTGAACCGCCTGCACCGGTGTTGGACGAGTCATGACTCACTGTTTGAGAAGCGTATCTGATATCACAGTCTTTGCTGAATACTACAAGAGAGAAGTCCAGATGCTCGTTTCCGAATATAATTCTGACCTAAACCATACCTACCATATAATTTGCCTTGGAAAAGCAGAGAAAACGGTATTGAAAACGCTATCCAGACACAGAGGGGTAGCACAGCTGCTTGGATCTTCCAAGCAGCTGTGCTACCCCTCTGTGTCTGGATAGCGTTTTCAATACCGTTTTCTCTGCTTTTCCAAGGCAAATTATATGGTAACGCTTCGGTCACCGCTTCGGTCACGGCTGGAGGGGTCCCAGTGTCATCCGCCTCCTCAAGGTGGGACCGGCTGCGGCGAAATGGATGACATCTCCCCCTCCCCCACGGTTGGTCTGCACTGAGCAGGCCGGGGGCTAATAAAAAAAAAAAAAAAAAAAAAAAAAAAAAAAAAACAGCTGCTTGGCAACACTTCAAATACAGCACTAACACAGCATTACAGGCTAGCAATTTTGAATGAGATGGAAATCACGATGTCGAAAAAATTATTTAAAAAAGTTAAAAATTACATCTACAAAAAATTCATACTTTTGTCCCGAATGATCTTCCATTTGAGGGAAACATACCAAAATTTTATGCCCCCAACTCCCCTGAAAAACAAAAGAAGCCAAAAATCTAGTTTGTCAGCAAAAAAAAGATGTATTATAAGTTGACTAGCAAAAACCATTTGGGAGAAAAAAAATGATTACAACATAGCCAACAAAAAGTGTCAATGGACTCTTTCAAATTTCGAGAAAAAAAACATCACTATAAAGCTCTTTGAATTTCTAGAATCTTTTCTGATTGGCATTTGAATTACAGTCTCGAAGCTACGCTTCACAAACACAATCAAGAAAATGACAAAAACGGTTTTAGAGAAAATTTAGCGTTGGTCGGCCTAAAATGGATGTCATAAAATTTGGTTGGTGAGGGGGTCGAATCCCTGAGGGGGGAGGCGTCCACCCAATCCCTTCGTCCCCCCCCCTAAATCCGCCCCTGTGCCTGACCCTTAACTCCCTGAACTATAAGTATCCGATATTCGCTCCTTACTTTCACAGAGGACATAAGTTTTTCCCAACTTAGAAACCTTACCAACTCAAATATCCCGATATTTAGCGCAGATGTTAATTCATCAGCTTAAGCTCTGGTGCCCCGAAATATTTTACAAATGCCGTCTATTCCCTTGTCAACAATCGACTAGTTGCGCCTGGTAGTTGAAAAAGTTCGAATACTTTATCTGAAATTATACAAAGCTCTGCTACCATCTACCCACACATTGGAATTGAAACACAACAGGAAAAATACACAAAATAATATTGCAATTTTGAAATGGGAGAGCAGGAATGGAAACCAATTACGCACTCTGCCAATTCCCCAGACGATGCGTGGATCAGGCGCGGGCCGGGAACTGGGCTCCGCTGCTTTCGATTCCCAACCACTCCCTTGGGGAAAACTTTCCTCGCAAAAATGAGCGGGCGAGGCGCAGAGGGGAATTGGAACGCATGGGGAGATATAAAACAGAGCGCACAAGAACGCAATTTTGAATTCTGATTCAGCAGAGGCACAACCACGCACTTATATATACTATGCCTTCATAATACGAGTACATACTCTTTTTTAAGGCAATATTCATCAATACTTTTTGAGCATTTCTTTTCATTTCCCCCTTTACACTAATTTCTAAAAGAAACTGCGAAATCAATTTTTGTTTAATTGATTGTATTTGCTGCTAACTTTTGCTCTATGAAGATTAATACTAATAAAATTTCTCAAATCAGATCAGATTCTATTTTAATTCCAAAAAATGGAAAATATATTTTGATTATATGAAAGTTAAACTCTTTCAATCGTATAACCTAACTATTATTTTTCAGAGAGTTATTCATTTCATTTCACTTCAACTGCAAACGTCTGCAAAAAATACACCGTGAAAGATCTTGCGTGATCAACTTTAGCTAGACAGCAAGCATTCTACGTAGCTCCTTATGTTTGATCACACCAATCAACTTCACTTTCGCTCTCTTCCCCTGACCAAACCATAAACAAATCGCAAACTGAGTTAAAATTCCAGTCATAGTTGAAGAAGCAACTTCCGGTAAGTTATATTGTTCATACCTACCAAGAAAGCGTTTAATGCTTTCACAATTTGCTCTCGAACAGGATCACTTTGAATTTCTTTTGGCTTCAATAACCTTAGAGGAACATTTCGTTCAGGGAAACAATTACGAATCAAAATTAGTCTGACATTAAAAATGGACCAAAGCAACGCCGATACTGAGATTTCTGGGCCACAAAATAATCCGAATGTGGAATCAAAATATTCACAAACCGATATCACTCTCAAAGATGACTTCAAAATATCCGGCAAAATAGTCAAAAATTTACCCAGAACAAAAGGCGAAGCAGAACTCTATTCGGTTCTAAAAAAGGCAAACCTGTTGGACTACTTTCAAAACTTCTTATCACAAGGTGGGGATGATGTTCAGCAAATTTGCGAGGCCGGAAAAGAAGAATTTTTAGAAATTGTTTCTCTGGTCGGAATGTCGACAAAACCTCTGCACGTGAGACGGCTCCAGAAAACCCTGCAAGACTGGGTCACTAACTCTGCGTCATTTTCAAACGATCAATTCAAAATACCAAACAGTTTAGTCCCAAAATGCTCGTATATTGATGAAAATGAGCAAAAATCAAGTTGTATTATTCAGCCAAACGATTCAAGCATGAACAATGCTCATGTACTTAACTTAAGTATGAGTCACAGTTCCACGAACGGCTCTTACGACAATCACGGTTTCAGTATCTACAATAACGGGGCACTTGTATCTTCAGAAGCGATCGCTTCGCCTGCTATTTCAGAAGAAAGTTCATCTCTTTCGACGGTCGATCATTCGCCTCCAATTTTACAAATGAGCAGCGGGTTTCAAGTCGAAAGCCGAGAACACTCGAAACGACCCAAGCAGGGAAAGAAAGCAAAGTACTTGAAGCGAGCTCTTTCGGTAGACACTGATAATCAAGGCGACGGAGTGTTTGTGGTGACAGGCAACTCAGATATCAGCAGTGAAGGGTCAGAAGCTATGTCATCGCCACTAAGCTTAGGCTCCGACGACGAATACACGGTAATTATATGGTATTACACAATGCACCTTTAAATCCATTTCAAATCACATTTTTCAAAATGCGGATCAAGTTAAGTTAAGAATTTCTGCGTTTCCTCTAAATCCAACTTCTTTACTATTTGTTAGTCGGGACTACTTTTTAGATCACTGATGAAGAACTGAGCCAGATAAAAGAAAAGGCAAAAACTTTGGTCCAGGCCGACCAAGAATCACGAAAGAACAGATATGACGAACAGCAGACTTCAAACTATACCCTCTCGACCAAATTCAACAAACAGTTACAGCGCGAGATCAACGATGCAATGAAAATTAACGAATCAGATGTCAGCCGTGAAATTGTATTCCGAAAACATTCGGCGATCTACGGTCGTTTCGATTCCAAAAGAAAGCCGGGTCGGCGTCTATCACCTCACGAAGCTGCAATAAATGAAGCGTCTGCTCAAATTTGCCTCCTCGACAAGTCGTTTCTGGTTCGTCGAGACGAGCTTTTTATGATGTGCAGACAGACGCTCAAAGAGATAGCTTTTCAAGGAAAAAAACAATCCCGAAATGCTAAAAAGGTCAAACTTGCGAAAACAGAAAACGTATCGGCAAACAGTCCAACATGTTCTGACGTTTTAACTCAAATGGATTCTAACGCAAAAGATACTACAAATACTGTATGTGAACAATCACTTTTGACATTCAATCCAAACCAAGTTGCCTCAACCGATGCCAGTCAAGGCAGCTCCACTTTTTTGCAATCTCAAAAAGCTTCATCTCTCGAGATGAAAATTGAAGCTCTAAATAACCGAATAGCGACTGGCAACCACTTTGAAACTAGCATCAACAGTAACAGCGTTGTCAATACAGGACTAGTAAATAATATGACTACAAGCAACGCCATGTTCAATGATGGAACATTCACACCCCTTTTGGCTCAAGGAGCGTCCCCGAACTTATTGGCCAACCAGTTTGCAAGCACCCTTCAACCAGTCAATATGTCAAATTTCAGGGCTCATTTCTGGCCTTCGGGTACGGGAAACCCAGAAATAAACTTTTTACATTCGGCATTAAATATGGCACACGCAAACTCAGCAGGGCCAGTCGGAATTCCCATGCAAGTGAACAAATTAGAGCCCATTTCACCTTAAGGCCCAAACTAAACTCGATGCATTCACACGCAAAACAAATTGAAACTTTCTCCTTAACTATTCTTTTTTTGTTCTGCAATCTTTTTCTGTTTATAAATATTACAAAAATTTCCCATGTTTCTTGATATGAACCAAGAATGTTGCACTGGTGCAGTTTATTTTATGTTAATTTTTTTGAAGCAACTGTTTTTTTTAATAAAGGCTAAATTTTGAATTAAAATCATTTAAATACCCAAAACTAAAGTTGTTAACACCTATCGTCCTAAATTTCACTTATAGACTTGAAACGAAAACGTTTCCTATATATAATGGTTTCAATGTGCATATGTACTTATAATTGTTAGCAAAATTAGGTTCTACTTAGAAACAGAACTCTTTTAGGTTAATTGAGATAAAGGCAATTTTCAAAAAATGTTTTTGGAATGAACAAGGTGGGCCAATATTCAATACTACAGTCAAGGGACAGAGAAATGAAAACTTTTAGATTTCAATGAATAGGTGAACAAATTTTTTCTATTGGCGTTTTCTCTGCATCTAAATAGAATATACAATTAAAATTTTGACACTTTGAAAGAAACTAGCCGGATCAAAGTTTCAGAAACTATCTTTTCAAGGCCTAAAAGAGTCAATATGTAGACATAGTTTCAGAGGTTTTCTTGCTGTGGAAACATTTGCGCAAATAACACAAGGAACCTAAGTTAGTGGGTTTAAATTTCTAATTGAGAACTGATGAGCTTGACTCACTCTTTATGCCCTCAACAAACGACAACAACAACAAAAAAGAAAACACTTGATCTGGCGACAAAAAAACGGTCGTGTGTCTTGACGATACAAAAATTGAAAGGTCTGGGCGCTCATACCAGAGAGCTGGACAGAATTTAAAAACAATAAAACTGCTTATGAGAATACTGCACTCGGATCTTAACAGTCAAATTTCCAAAACAACTGATTGAAGTTTTTTTTTGTTTGCTTATTTTGATCATCAGCGAAAAATTTCTATAATTTTGTTGCTGTTCTTTGACTCCGGATCAGCTAACTTTTTCAATTCTTTTAATAGTCGCTTTTGCGTGCCATAAAAAAGAGTCAAGCTCATCAGCTTTCCAAAGAATCAATTTACTCCCACAAATTGATATTCCATGTTTGCGAGGATGTTTCCACAGCAAGACCATCTTTTCCGCCTTCAAAACATAATTTCTGTATGATTGATCGTGCTAGCATCTTCCGAAATGTTCCATCTAGCGTGTGTCAAAATGTCAACCCTATATGTTACATTGTTGCAGAGAAAACGACGCAAACGTAGAAAATTTTTTTATAAAATCGATAAATTGCAACTTCCGTCACTGCACTTGAAGAGCAACTGCTGAATAAGATATAACACACGTCAAATTTTGCGACGAAGATAGGAAGCTGCACTTCGCCAACCCAAGTAAAAACGGTAAACAAAATTGAAAATTCCCAACAAAACTGTGAAACAAATCGATCTGCTACAGCTCCTGAGTTGTAGAAGCAGTCATGAAAGCAACAAAATCAAAACTAACAAATATTTTTAGGAAAATCATTCCGGGGCTCTTAATTTTCATGAATCCTTTATCATAGAAACTTTGGCTCCCCACTACCTCCCCATGAAAAAAAAATTATCAAAAAAAAACTAACATTTTACTTTATCTTTCTCTAATTTATGAAATTTCGGTTAACATGATAATTTTTGACCTTCTGATTAACCATAAGAAAGAAAAAAATCGCAAAAACTTCTTTGACTCAATTAGTTGCCCAAAACGGTAAAACTCTGAAATCATTTCAATTTCAGTTAAAAAAACGCTTAAAATTTAGGCAAATTTAGTGCTGCGGCAGCTAAGCCGATTAAAAATAAGCAGACAAGCAAAAATCCGACAATTATTTTTTGACGCTTGGAAAACTTTCCGTTTTCACAAAAAAAAGAACAAATCCACGCCAGATTCAAACCATTGACCTTTGTCATTATAGGCAAGCAGGTTAGCTCTTCGCCACATGCGCGATATAACGTCTGACTTTTGATTTGATAAAAACCAAAAGTAAAATGATTCAAGTGATTCTGTATAACTAGTTGTTAGCCCGAAAAAAGTCTGATTTCCGATTTGATAACGCTTGCTAATCGCAAGTGCAATTAGTACTGAACTAAGCCTTGCATGGAGTTACGATCTGTGAATAAATAAAAAACTTGAGTGCGAAATTTCACAGTGCATGTTCATTTGTTTTGAATGATGTATCTACTGAGGGGCTATAATTTACTGGGCGATTTGATGTCTCTATAGTTGGGAAGAACAGTAAATTTTTTGTCAGCGTCATACAAATATGCTGCGTTCGCTTGTGTAAACATAGCCAATCGAAGATCGGAAAAGAGTAATGAACGCAAGTAAAACATAAAAAAAACGATTTCTCAACTTTCGAATTCCAAAGAAAACATAGATGCCCTTTAAGCTCTTTGAATTTCTAGAACGATTTATGACTGGCGCTTTTTGATATTATTAACCCAAATTGAGAAAAATGGATCAATAGGTGAAGTTTTTATTCCGCTAAAAATTAAATACCACTTTCGAAGCTAGAAATCGTTCACGAATTTTTGCGCCATTTCCACGTTCGTATTTGGAGAGTGCTATTAACGTCACTTTCAGCAGATGAATTTCAATTGAACTCAAAAAGTGCATATATACCTAAGTGCATCTATAATTTTAGACTTTTCCTGAGAAAAAAATCAGCAAGATCTATATAAAAGTCTTCACTACTTTCATTACTCTTAAAAATAATGAGGCTCCATTCATAGCTTTCTTGTGACTACAATCAAAATAAAAAGATCAAAAATTCTAAAAACTTAATCTGTCGATAAAAAAAATGCGCAAAAAAGATTTTAAAATCAGTTACTTGCACCATCGGCTTATATCGCAATGGCCTTCTTATCCAACAAAAATTGCTCAGCTTTTTTCAGAAAAAATCTGTGCTGTGGCAAAGAAGTTGGTGTACTTTTGTGATGACAGAAATAAGATAGTCAGAAAATCATTTTCTTTCAAAGGTGGAAATTTTCGATTTGCAAGAAGTACAGGTCCTGGTAGGGATCAAGCAATTGAGTTCACCTTTGTGTTACTTCACCACTACTCAAAATGTGCATTATACTTCCTTTGAAATTGAATTGAATGTAAATCAAGCTAAGAAATATTTGGATGAGTTGAGCTGTACTTTTCGATTTGATTACTCTTATGAATCACAAGCGCACTCAAAAAGGCCAAAAATTGCCGAGTTAAAACATAGTCAATCGAAGCAAACGAAAAAAAAATCAGCAAGACCTATATAAGAGTCTTCACAACAATCATTACCCATAATAAAGCAAACTGCACTTGTACCATATTCAGGAAAAATAATTACAATTTGGTTAACTAAAGTCAATTAGTATTGCGTTGCAAAAAGCCTGAAACAGCAACAGCATGATGAAGATGACTACGGATATATCTTACCGGACATGCTTTGACTTGAATGATAGCCAGGAGATCTTTAAACGCATTCCACACTCGCACTGCTGCTGGCTCTGGGGCATCTTTCACACTGGCAGTATTCGAACCAGATTCAGGGCCACTAAAACACGTATTTTAGCCTAATTTAAATGATGTAAATTTCAAAATGGTGAATTTATGTTTCGAACACATTGCAATCTGTTCGACGAAATAAAATTGATATTTTAGAGTTTGACGAAATAAAATCAAGAGCTTGACGACAAAATTGATATCGCACAATATATATAATGAGACCATCGCAACTGTCCATGTGATGATTACAGATGAACCTATGCAGATCGGAGGCTCATGGCAGAAGGTAAGTCAAAACCACTGGTGCCAAAAAAATAGAAAATAGACAATAAATAAATTGTAACCAAATCGGAGTTCGTAAATTTGCATCCAACATTTAAAAATTTTCAAATAGAACGGAAAATTAAACTGCAGATACACTCAGAACTAGTCTGTTGGTTGAAAAAAGTACAGATTTGAGAAAATTTTTTGATGATTCTGTTAGATCAGTTATTTACATGGACACAGGGGTGATGCTTCGCTTCGCACCACTTGCGATACAAAAATGAATGATTATGGTAAAAGCAAATGAAAAGACAAATGAAAAAAAATTGCCAAAATTAAAAAAATCCTTTACTAAGAGCTTTCAAAATGCTACAAAGAAGCCAAACATTTCTGCCGATATCTAAAACTCACTTTCAACAAAAAACACCGGGAGTTGTCGTCTCCAGCATGCGTGATCCGCTATGCCAAATGCACAGAATAATCCTTAAAACTTTAACGAAAACAACTATCAGGAGTTTTCAACAGCAAACATGAAAAAAATCGGCTAAATTTCTTGGAACCCAATTACTTGCCCAATATCGGAACACACTGGAAGGATTTTTACTTTAAGTAAGAAAACTGCTAAATTGAAGCCAAATTTAGTGCTGAGGCAACAAAGCCGCCAAAAAGAAGCAGACAAACAAAATTCCGTCAAAAAGATTTGATGGGCGGAAAATTTTCCGTTTACAAAAAAAAACATAGCCAACAGACAGTTGAAAAAGAGTCAATGAACGCAAGTAAACAAAAAAAAAACATTTTTGGATCATTTCACTTTGGAACGTAGATGCCAAAGGGAAAAAATGATGCCCCTAAAGCTCGTCGAATTTCTATAACTATTTATGTTCGACACTTTTTTGATTTAAATAACCCAATTTGAGAAAACTGGATCAATAGGAAAAATCTTTATTCCGCTGAAAATCTGGAAATTAAATTCCACTTTCTAAACTAGAAATTGATCACGGTTTTTGTGACTTTGGAACATTTGATGTTTGATAATGGAGTTTGCCTTCCTTTTAACAAAGGAAATGAATTGAACTTATTAATAATCATAAGTCAAACCGCGAAAAAACAATTAAGCCTGAACAAATTTTCAGACTTTTAATGAAAAAAAATCATCAGCACCTAAATAAGAAACCGATCTACGTTCACCGACTCTAGAAAAACAGTTCCTGGCCGGATTCGAACCATTGACTTTTGCCTTTGTAGGCAGGTGCGTTTACCTCTTCACCACAGGCGCAAATTTATGTCTGGCTTTTGATTTCATATGAACCAAAGAGCTATCAAATAATTCAAGTGATTCTGTTAAGCTAATGGTTAACCCAAAAAAATTCTATATACCGATTTGATATTTCTTGCTAGTCTCAACTGTAAAGTCAAAGGCCCGAAAAAGCAGAAAATTTCTAGATTACAAAAAAAGGTGCTACCTTTACGCCAGATGCGCTGGATGGTTGTTGAATTTGAATTTATTACACAGGGGCGATGCTGAGCTTCGCACCACTTGCGATACAATTATGAATGGCTATGATTACAATCAAACGGAAAGAAAATGAAACGAAAAAACTACAAAAATCGTTTTTGTTAGTAAAAAAATTGCAACAAAAGCACCCAAATATCCGGAAAAAATTGCCTGCATCATTGGAAGCTTTACAAAGAGCTTTTGGAATGCAAGATAAAAACCGGATTTTTGAAAAAATAATAATTTCTGCACAACTAAGCCGACGAAATTAAGCAGACCAACAATAATCAAAATTAGCCGAAAAATGTTTGTTCGCAAAACAGGTCTCGACTGGAATCGAAATCCCGGGCTTTTTCGTCTCAAGCATGGGAGTTATAGCAACTTGGAAGAAAGCTGAACCTTCAAAAAGTCGCGCTACGGGAACTAAGCCGACAAAAACAAACAGACGGACGATAGCCCGAAAACGCACAAAACCGCTAGTTTGCGAAAAAAAACAGGTCCCGGCCATTTGCTGTCTCACACAGCGCAACCCTTCGCTGTCTCACGAAATTGTGTTAGCCAGATTCACCGGATGGTTGATTGAATTTGAATTTATAATTAACAAGCGGTAACAAAGCCGGAAATATTCGTGGCGAAAAAAAATCAAAAAAATCTTAACTGATTTTAAAAATGGTATGCGCCTTTTCCCCCCAGACTACACACACGCACACAAAAAAAATTTCAATCCACGAACGAAGCAAAAAGAAGCCACTAGCTCGATATATATTTTGCCGAAACGTATTAGGCCGATACAAAAGACAAAAAATGAAGAAAAACAAATTAAATATTGACAATGGATTTAGTAAAATTACAACTAATGTAAAAAACAAATTTCGATTCAGCCAGATTTTTAAAATGCTTAAAAAAACTTAACTACAGTTAGAACTGTTAGAACTACGTAAGTAACTACATTTAGAATTGTTTCCAGCAAAAAAAAACGATTGTTAGATGTTAGATGGAGAATTTAATATTTGAAAAAACAGGTCCTAGATCTAAAAGATGCACTGAAACTTTTTTCGACCAATCAGACTCTTACAACCGTAATTACATAATAAATTACAATCTTAAATATTTTTTTCTTAAATTTCCAAGACTTTTTGGTATTTTTCCATTCAAATTTTCTGTTCCGCGGTTAATTTCAAATCTCACAACGGCGGATCAGGAGGTCTAACTGAGTTGTTTGGATACAACCATTCCCTATGGTGAAGAAGTCTCCGAAGAAGTTACAATGCCTCATGGGAGTGTAATTCAATGTAATTCCTCGCATAGTCATTATAATAATAATTGACACAGAGGCCAAGCTTCGCTTCGCAAACGCTAGCGAGAGCACGACAAAAAGCAGCTTCATTAAGCACAATAAAAAAAGTATAAATCAGCCTCGAATTAGCAAAAAGTTGTCTACGGCTGAGATTCAAACCTGCGACTTTGAGATTAAGAGTCGCACACTAACCACTCAGCCACGAAAACTTATTAGTCTAAAGAAGATAAAAGATTAAACACTAGCCACAAATAAAGCAGAGAACAGATGCAAAGCAATTTCCAATGCTACAGTGAAATTTCCAAATAAGTGAACAAGTTTAATGAACAATTTTATTTGCGAGTCAGGTTAGAAAAAAGGTTCGCAATAAAATAACTAAGATGACGCTAGTGTAAATATGATGACACAATTAACAGACACAACTGTCAAAATATTTGCTTAACTAGAACAAAAAACATTAACTGATGACTACGATAGAGTGGACAAATGATTCACTGATTTGTAAAAAAAAACTGGTTCACCGGTAAAAAAAGTGTTAGCCCGATATTCGCCGGTCAGAAAAATGTTATCTCGCAAGTGTAACAATCATAACTATATTTCATTATGGCAGAGCTTAAGCTTTCACTTACTGGCTGCCTCGTTCTACGTCCAAAGCGGTTCCCACTGTTTTACTAGCCATCGATCCCTTATCGTCCACAACTGATCCCGAAGTAACCATCTCTCCCAGGTGACTTTCAATCTTGTGGTATCCTCCGCCATCAGATCCACTGCTTCTAGAAGAAGGGGCACCAGTGTTTCGTCTTCTCTGCCTGGAACTCGAATGAGACTGCGGAGGTGCCTTACCAGAGACAGATGGACCGTGAGCTGGATTTTTCAGGCCTCGTCTGTCTGATGTAACGCTGGACTCAACCTGAAGAAAAATTTAATTTTTGACCAAAATTTTCAACTGAAATAATATTCGAAAAATCCTTTTTTTCATCCAAGTTCATTAAAGTAGCCTCAGAACTAATTTTACCAAAAACATCTATGATACAGGAAAAAATGCATCACTGAAATAATACAAAAAAAATGCATCACTGAGATGATCTTTTGATTGAATGAATTTTTTCTCAAATGATCCAGGTTTTTTTTATTTTTAGTTCACTAACTGGCTGCTGTCTCCGTTTGTCCATGATGACACTTATCTGTTTCGCCTTCGTATTGGTGAAACTCTGCGCCAGCTCTTCGTAGAACTGCACCCTGTTGTAAACATGTATGTCAACTGTGGTCAGATCCATCACTAGTCTAGGTGCTTTCTCCTGGTAGTATTCCAGGTCGAACATCTTCCACCACCGGAAGGTGATGATACCATCGTAGATTGAGATGGAGAAGTCCGTGGTTGCAAGGTAGAGACCCCTGAAACGTCTCATGTTATACTTATTAGGTGAATATTTTTTTGGGCCCAATACTAGCTAAAATTCAATCGCTGGGTACACGCAGAAACTACAAAGAATTTCAGTTTTAGAAAAACGTATCTTCAACATCATTCTTGTGGACAATTTCGACAGTAACCAGTCGCTATTCCATTTAAGTAATAACGGCATTGAAAAAACGCAATCATTTCTTTCTATTTATCTTAAAAGTAACCAAATGCCCGCTAAATTAATTAGCTGCTACTCATTAAAAAAATTTGAGATTACTAAATTGCAAAACTGTTTATCAATACATATGCTTTAAATTGAGTCCTATCCTATCCTAACCTGAACATGATTTTTCCCGACAGCACCGAGAGCGAAAAAGACCCCAGGTCAAAATCCATCTTGGTAGTCCGAGATATTATTGCACTAATTATGAATCCAAACACACGCGAGTTGAAATACAATGCATAAATCAACCAGATGCCCAAAACTGCATTGACAATCACCAGTTGTAGGTAGCTTTGCTCATTTAACTGGCCTTCGCCGGAACTAGAACCCCGGATCGCCAATGAAGTGTCTGGGGTTTCTAGAGGAGCCGCCGTTGATGTGTTTAGAAGCAAAGTTGTCATTTTCTATTCAGCTGTAATTTCTGCATAAACGTTCGTGTCTATCTAATATTTCGCTTTCAAGACTGTCTATACCAGGGAAGCATTGTTAGCTGAGTACAATTCAGCTGCTCGCCTCGCCCGAAAATATACTCAAGATCTGAAAGTATTCAAAATTGAATGTAAAATTCCATGCTTGATTAACCCGTTTCAACTAGACTATCCAGCTCAATCTGAGATTAATTCATTTTAAACAAAACTTTTCGCTTCACTGAGCCAGTAAAACAGAAAGTTCAGATTCAGTATTTGGCTCTCGATTTTTAGGAGAAAGAGTAAATATTTATTGCAGAACAATTTTAATTGCCGCACTCATAATCTTGCAAAGTGTTTCTTAGCAACTCAATTTCCTCAAGCCAGTTCCAACAGCACAGACAATTCTAAAAGCGTTTATCCATGCCAAAAACATCAAATATTTTTCAGACTTTTGAGATGTTTTTGTTTAAGGGAGAGGAGAGTAGGGGTGGTGACTTGAATGGATCTAAAATCCAAACACAGAGGTGAAGCAGGCTTCGCACCACTTTCGATACAACATAAAAATAGCAATGCAAGCTAGTAGACAGGAAAAGAAAGCCACCAAATCCAAAAAAAAACACTTCAAAAAACCCAAACTTGAAAAATTGTCCGGAATCATGTTCTTTTTGAGGAAAACACCTCCAGAAACAAAATCGACGGCAATTGATGAAAACTCAAAAAAAAATAACACGCGGCAACTGAGCAGAAGAAACTTAAAATAATTTCCAGTAGAATTGAAAATATATTGGTTGTCATGGAAATTTTGAGCTATAAATTTTATTCTAAGAACTTAAGCACTTTGTGCGATCCGGAATGAAGCATAAAACTTATGCTTCTTTTGGAATGACCCCAAATTAGGTCACTAAGCGGATAAAAGCATAAGGCGATATCATTAGAGCAGAATCAAGTTCTTTAGGAAAAAACAACAAAATATACGAAGTCAAGGAGTACAATTGAAAATTGCAGAAGTAATTCAAAACGCAGAAAGCAACTATATTGAAAATTACGTAGAAAAAAAATCTATTCTACGATGTGGCAACTAAGCCGACAAAACATAAGCGGACAAACTATTTTCTGATATTTTTGGAAAGTAATTTTTCCAGTTGAGAAAAAAAAACAGTTCCTGATCAGATTCGAACCCACGACCTTTGCCATCCTTGGTGTACTCTTCACCTCCAGGCTAAGTGCCGGACACGCATAGACGTTTGAACGCATTTTGAACAAAGATTCAAGTGATTCTGTCAAAAAAGTTGTTAACCCGAAAAAAAGTCTATATTCCGGTTTGAAAATGATTGCAAATCACACGTTTAATGAAGGAAATGAACTGAACTTCAAAAAAAAACTCAAATCGCGAATACGTCGAAATGAGCGTAAACAGATTTCAGCACTTTTCCTGAAAAAAAACTTGACAACTTATAAAACAGTCTGAACTCTTTTCATCAAATCCTAAATGAAAAATCATGTCCCATACCTTTTCATAAAACCTGTTTTTATCAAACAGGAACATGAAAATACTGAAAATTTTCATTTTATAGAAAAAAAACTAGCAAAAAAAACTTGAAATGCATGAAATTCAACGTTTTGATGTCTTTCAGAGCTGTTTCGGTAGCCTTCATAATCATACTTCAAAATGACATTTCATAACAAAAGGAGCTTCAAACGGCCAGATTCGAAATTTCTTCTTGATTTTGAGTGAATTTGGTTTTAAAAACTATACTGTAATCTAGTCCAAAAAAAATCAAGAAGTATTTTTGGAGAACAACTAAGCAATTCACAAAAAAACCGCCTTTTTATTAGTTCTACAGAAAACATGATCAAATTATCCGGCTCTTTTTTTAATTTTCTCTCATAGGATCGAGATCAAACTCGAAAGTGAACGCAATTATTAATCACAGAGGCAAAGCGGAGCGGAGGAAGTCTAAACACAGAGGCGAAGCGGAGCGGAGCGGAGGAAGTATAAAAAATGAAAAACGTTGAAAAAAACTTTTGTATGTTTTGACAATTGAGAATTAAAGTTGAAAAAGAATAAAATTTACATAGAGGAGACAAAGCCAACAATCTTTGAACCGACACAAGTGCAGCCGACAAACATGATTTCATAAAAATTTTAACAGTTTTACATCGCACCTGAGACTACAATGAACAATACTTGCACTTGAAACTACGAAGGAAGTGGCTTGCAGCACAAACAATTCAGTGGTGTGGCAACTTAGCAGACACTTTTTGAGCAGACACCTGTTGAGCCGGAAAAAAAATGATTTGAAAACATTTGAAAAGTTTCAAGTCCCTCTCCCTGAACCTACAGAGAACAACACTTAAACTTGCAACTGCAATGAAAGTTACTTGCAGGAAATCATGATGTGCGAACTAAGCCGACATAACTTTAGCAGAATTACGGAAGTCCGAAAATTCAAATTTGACCGAAAATTTTTTTTTTCAACTGCAAACATACTGAAAAAAACTCGAACCCAATACCTTAGGATACAAAAATTCAAAACGTTTATAATTACCCTCAAAACACTTAGTTATTTTTTTGCAAAACTCTCAAAAAAGGCCTCTGAACCGATATATTATGAGCCGAAACAAACTGAAATCGGAGTTGGTAAATTTGCAGCCAATATAATAAAAAACTTTATAAGAACGGGCATTTAAAACGCAGATATGCTCAAAAATTGGCTCATTTCTACTCCCCTACCTTTCAAAATATCGAGTTTTATATTTGTTTTACATGTTATTACAGTCAAATGCGTGATGTTATGATGTAAGTATGAAGATCTGTTCACAATTGTCAGTTTGCTCACCATGCCAAATTTCATATCATTATGACAACGTAAAAAACGCTATTCAACATTATAATTTGAAAGGGGTGGGAAACTGGAAAAGAGTTTAAAAAAAATTGTCTGTTCTCCATCTTTCTGTTCTTTGAGGAAAGTAGAGATGACCAACATTTTAACCCGATTGCAATACTTTTGCTTATCGCAAGGGTAAAAAATCAACCAATTTTTCCTCGACAGCGAACAACGTAAGTAAAATTTCTTAAGTCTTTTTATATGAATTATTTCTCGATTATGTTTTTTTGTGCTACCTAAATTTTCCTGGGGAAATAGTAGCATTAGACATCGAATTTTCATCTCACCTTTGGGAATTGCAACAAGGATAGCCGGTTGCTCTGCAAGCAGCATAGAAAGTTTCAACAACAATGATAAAAAAATTGTGTCGTTTTCTATTCGTGTTGTTATATGAGAAGATCTGAATGAAAGCCTAGCAATTAAACGTATTCATAGTAGTAATAGTAATTTAGTATTCAAAATTTGTAATCTAAAAAATTGTCTTCTTAAAAAGCGCTGAAAGATACTTAAAACCTACACTTAAAGGAGTAAAACTGAAACTTCACGACCTAATTTGAATTATAAGAATTAAATTTTAATAGGCAGGCTTGGTCGCTTTATTTGTTCGGAATTAGACTAGAAGAAAAAAAAATCGACCCTTCAGGGTATCTACTAAAGATTTTCCGCCTCTAAAAACAAATGCAGTAACTTAACACTATTTTGCTGCACTTTGATTGGTCGAAAGTTTAAGCTGATTTATTCTACTTGACAATTTTCCTCCCTTTCTTGAAAGGGGGAAATTATTAATTAGATATAAATGATACATCATTCCATCCATTCCGACGCTACTTACAATGGTCGAAACAATAATGAAATGGAGAAATCAACAGCAGATGTAGGGAAAATGGAACAGAAAATCTACTCTAGAGCCAGAAACTTGACCTAGTAGTGCAGGTCTTCCTTTTGTCATTATTTTGCGAAACACTTCTGATCATCTACTATAAACGTTGCCTATAGTACCGTTACATTTGAAAAAAGAAGGCGCAAGAGAGCGCAGGCAAAAAAACGCAACTTCTTGTTTCAGCCTCAACTTTCCAAAAACTGCTCAAATTGCAATTGTGGTGAAGCCGCACTTCGTAAAAACCTTTGAAAAATGTTTTAAAAAAATACAAAAATTCCTAGGTTACACATCGCACATAATTTTGTAAATAAAACGAAGCATTAGTAGTGAATGCACCCAAATAAAGCAGATATAGAATCAATCGGGTATAGCTACTGTTTTTAAAATTATAAAATAGGGACTAAAATGTACTCAGAACTTGATGCTGAAACTCAACACAGAAATTCAAAAAAAAATCCGCCGGTCTCACGTTAAAAAAGAGAATTAAGTGTCTGCGTAAATATGACTAATCGTCTCAAAACAGCTGCAGAATAACTTTAACTTAATGTCAAAATACAACTTTCACTATAATAACCAGTTTTAGAATTAGTAGAATACCTCTGCGACAAATGAATTTTATCGACGGTTATAGCTCCAAAATCAAAATCACCCATATTGTCCAAAACTTCCTGGATGTCAAAAGTTTTCCTTTCCTCTTCGTCACAGTCTTCGCTGTTTTTCACATCCTTCGAAACTCTTTCGCCTCTGAATTTTGAATTCATCAATGTTACATGCATCTTAACACTATCACGCTCAAAGCTCTTTTGCAAATAACCAGTGTTGGAAAATCTCTCATAAACAGTGTCAGCTATCACTTGCAACATCATCGAACTCTCGCCGTCAACTTTGGCGTACAAAACATCCACAGAGCTCGGGTCGTCATTCATAATTTCAAGACCTTTGAGCTGAAACGACAAATTCTTCCCATTTACTAAAGCCGAAAGCTCCTTATGTAGATTGTTCATTAGTTCAACAGCTTCCTTGACTTCGTTCTTACTCAGTAAGGCCAAAGTTGCAACGGTGATATGGAGTTTTTGAGGTTTCTGAAATAACTGTTCATCAATTCTGCGAGACTTAGCAAAACCCATGGACAAAACAGACTCTTTAAACACTTCAAATCTTTCCAAAACTTCAACATTAACAACTGGAATGGATACGAAATGAGTGAAGGGCTCTTTTGCGCGACCTCGATCCATTGTCAACTGAATTCTGGTCAAAGCGGAGTTCAACATTTCAGCACTCGATAACCCCTGGACAACAATAGGATCATCGGGATTTTTCCTGTCTGGAATTGTGATTCGAGTTTTTGTTTCCTGCTCGATTTCTCGTTTTTTCTCTCCACCTTTTCCAATGACATATTTGAGTAACATCGGAGGACAATCGATCGTTTGCTTCATATCCGAGAAATCAATTCGGCATGTTTCGAAGTCGTCTCGTGTTCGAATTGGCTCAAAGTCATGCAATGATTCCTCCATTTCGGCTGGTTTCATATTGATGGAAGCATCGTATGCTGGGTTTACCCGGTAAATGGATCCATTCGGCAAAAATAACAATTCAGGTGATAATACAGGATCCATTTTTAAAACAATCGCACTGTGTTCCAATACAGGGCTAAAACTTATTGAATTTTCCAAGTTTTGATGCTTCCAGAATCAATTTATACGTTCGGATGCCAACTTGCTTTTTCAATTGTCAACCGCCAATGAAATAATCGATTTGCTTTTAAAAGGAATGGTCTTATTTGTACCACATGGAGGGTTTTGGCACCGGTTTGAAATCGTAATCTTCGCTTCCGTCCAACTTAGCTTTCTCCAGCTGCTTGTGAGCCTTCCTCAAATTCCTCAACTTTTCTGTGACTTCAGGGTCCTCGTCTTTTGATCTCGTTCGATTGATACTGCGACTCTGTCCCACCGTGAATCCGATAGTGTCGATGACCTTGGACTCCTTCTTGATGTTGATTCGGTTGTCGACCAAGTGGTAGAATGTGTATCCGCTTATTGCAACCACGCTGAAAATAGGCAGGCCGTGACGGAAAAAAGCGTTGTTTAGGTACTTCCACACCATGAAGTCATCTTAAACACAATTAGTTCTACACAGGTGAAGGCGTCTAGCAAATTACCTCATTAGATAACTACATATGATTTCACGAGAATTCGACCAGATCTACTTGGATATTATACATTTGATTCCCGTCTTTTCGCGACATAACCGCAAAACTTTTCAAAAAAATTCTGAATAGTTTTTTCCAGCCATACGTATAAGCGTAATAATTCAATTTTTGCTATTAAAATTTACATTTAACTGACTTGCTTTAGACAAAAAGGAAAACCAAGCAGACTTAAGTCAAAATCGTTTGAACATTAATTGAAAATACTGCTTTGACACACGCACTTGTTTATTCCGCTGCAAAATTGAGCGTGAATATATGTAAAACTTTATCCTATGAAAAGCCACTTCTTAAAGAAGTGAAAATTCCCTTTGTTTAGTAACATCACAAAAAAAATCGTGGCAAGCTAGCAGACAGAAAAGCAGATGAAATCCATCCAACAGAAAAATTATTTGAACAAAAACAATCGACTAAAAACTGATTCCACCAAAATTTTCATAGGTGTCTTGACAACTGATTTTCAATTTGAAGAAAACGTTACACGAAAATCAATTTGAACTATGAATTCCTGTAATCAATAGTTAACGAAATTGCCCCAGTGCTGAAAGATTGTTTCAAAAGTGTTTTGAAAAAGGCTATTTCCCAGCGTGCTTGAAAACTGCAAAAATCATTCCGGTTCATAACGTAAACCGGTTCATAAGGCATCTAAACGTAAACCAAAAAACTACAGACCAACTTCATTAGTCCCCGCTTTGGGTAAAACATTCAAGAATCAAAACTATCTACAGATACACAATTTGGCTTCAAAGAGGATCAAAGTTCAATTGATGCCGTAGTGTGACTTATCGAAACAATCCATCTTGAGTAGGACGATCAAAAAAATCAATGCACTGTACTTTTCTTCATCTTAAAAAGCTTTCGACATGGTTGATCAAGTACAACTACAAAAAAAATCTTACTCTTATGGATTGCGTGGTCCCATTTGCAATCTTTTGACATCCTACCTCGAAAACAGGACACAGTTTAGATCTAAAAAAACGTATATCATCACTGAATAAAATTCTTATGGAGTGCCGCAGGGCTCAGTTTTCGATCCACTTCTTTTCAATTATTTCATACATGATTTATCCTCAAGTCGACAAAATACTTATACTTTTCTTTATGCTGACGAAACTGCAAGTTTAACTTCAGCATTAAAGGACTCATAAGCTCAAGCGCTTCAAACTGCGCTAACTGCAAGTGAACATTGGCTAAAAGAAAACATTCTCACCCTCAATATCGATGAAACAAAAACAATGAAATTTAAAAAAAAATCAAAACAGAAAGTTGTTATAGATGCGCGAATGAATAAAGTTATATTGAAAACAGGAAACCTTTTAGAAAAATCGATAGACAAGGATTTGAGTTTTCTTATGCACGCGTCTATTCTCAGGAAAAGTAAACAAATTTTGCGGATTATTCACATAAGAAAAGTTTTTAACTTGAAACAGTTGATACTGGAAAGGAAACAACTGGATAAGGATCTCAAAAGACTACGCAGAATGAATTTTTTTAAGCGTAGATTCGACTCAATAGGAGTAGCACAGGAACCCAAAAAGCATATATCCACTGAACCTCACATTTATGAAAATCTTTTTATAAAAAAAATAAATTAAAAAAAAAAACTAAATGACCAAATAATAAGTTAAAGTGCACTAAAGCGCAGTTATAGCTGTAGTTCACTAGTTTTAGTTTAAGTTTTCAAAACTTCAAAATTCAAGTTTTCAATGTCAGCACGTGAAAAGAGTGCACGCGCTATCCAGTGATTTTGTTAAATAAGTTGCTAACCAAAAAAGTCCATTTTCCGAATTGATATAATTTGATAATCAATCCTTTGCTCTTAGTTATAACTTTCAATATGATCAACTACACCAACAATTCTTCAAAACCAATTTTGCTATGATTCTGCACTAAAATTCAGACGAGTAATGAAAAGTGAAAATACCTACAAAAAATGTCATCAGATGAATCATACAGGACATCAACCCTAAATATTTTTATGGCATCCCAAACTTCGTGGAAACAATAGAACTACCACACCATAATCACATACTCTGCACTCTCATTCGACTGTTAAAAAGTTACCAATATCGATCAACTGCAAAATGAGTTTTTACAATATTTAAGTACATATTGCAATGATACAAATTTTTAAACTATCATCATTTGTACAGTATAATTTCCATTTGAAATCGTTTCGCGTAAATGTTTGAGAGGAAAAACATTTCTTCCGGTTTAAGAGTTTTTGAAAAATTTCACTGTTGTTTCATTTTTTCCTTGACCTTTTTTCTACCCATGAGTGAAGCTTCGCACCACTTGAGATTTATTACCACTGACGAGCTAGCCAAGAAAAAAGAGCCGAAACTCATGTCAACTGAAAAGAAAAAATGATGCAAAAAAACTTCATCGACAAAAAAGTCTATGATGAAAAAACTAAGAATAGTAAATCAACAACTTGCGATACAAGTGAGACAATACACTATAATATGAAAGAAAAGGCAGAAAATTGAAAAAATTTCAAAAAATACATCTACAAAAACTATACAAGTTTGACTCGAAAGAGGTTCATGAACAGCGTCAAGCAAGCATTGATGATCATTTACTGAGCGGAAATATTGTCACACACAAATTTGAACTGAAAAATTTTGTAATTAAAGGGTGACACCCATTTCCCTTGGAACAATTATTCGTCCTCCCAAACTATGCAAAAAAAGTCGACTCAAGTAAATTAATATACATTCAAAATCAGAGTTGATGAAGTTACAAGCTACCGAAAAACTTTCAACTATAGTAATACTTTTTTAATTCAGAAGATGCATATCCGTAGCAGATAACATGGATTTTCATTCAAAAATAACGGAAGAAGATTCGACAAAAATGACGATTATGAAAAAAAAAATTCATAGAAAACAAAGTTTTCTACCTAATATGAACATCCGTGATTTTCACTGACTTTCAAGAAATTGAGAAAATCAGCCTGCACGTGATTCTTCAAGAAAATATGATGTCAGCCAGCACATTTCAGCCTTCACAAGATTTTTAAGAAAATTGTTTACCGGAAAAAAATTCCCGCAATCAGCTTGTAAGACAAGTAAAAACGTGTAATGTTTTCTAGAATTGATTTTTTTTCTAAAACTGAGTTTATTAGAATAAACTGTGTTTTTTTTCCATTCAACTTTAAATGCACGGAACATATTGTCTAAATAATAATTAATTTGGCATTACTAGACAAAAGAAAGACAATATTAATGATTCTAACAGATTAATGAACGTGAAAATTGCTTAAATTAAAAAATGAAAACAAGTTGACAATAAATCCACTCATGACAAAAGACGAGGGTGTTCAACAATGCTTTTATTCAAAAATTGATATCCAAAAAATTTTCAAATTAAAGTTTCTTCTAAAATTAAAATGATCAAATCTCCAAAACTACTGCGTATCAGATCTTCGTATTTTCAACTCAGAAACATAAACCTTAAAATGGCACTTAGCATACAAATGGACTTTCCATATTTAATGATTTCATTGACGAAATCACTGAATTCATAAATGACACTCTTGTTTAATTTAATTCTTTCTTTTTCATTAGCCCGCACGCATATCCAATATCCAGTATTTTTTAAATGATATCTAAGCTTTAAAATTTTTGAAAATTAAAAAAAAACGGCATACCTAGGAAAAAAATGAGGTGAACGGTCATATTTTGAAACCATAAACAAACTAATAAACTTCATGCGAAACCCTTGACAGCACCTCAGAATAATGTTGAGAATTTCAAATTTTGTTACGACTTTTTAGACAGTTTTTTTGAAAATTTTCAAAAGTATTTAAAAAAAACGTCGATTCCGAAACTTAAAGAAATTGAGCAGCCACAATTGGAGACAAAACAAAATCGAAGCCCTTGAGATAGCTTCGGCAAATCCCAACTTCAGGGTTGGGAATTTCAACCTCTCTGAAATTTTGTAAATCCAAGTTTTCTGAAAATTATTCAAAAACCATTTTAAAAACGTCATATCTCGAAAACTAAAAGATTTGAGCATTCAAATTTAGTGACAAGAATAGCAACGTAGTTCCCTGACAGCGCCTCAGTATAGGAATGAGATTTCAAAAGTTTTGTGAAGATTTGAGCAGTCATATTTGGAGGTAAGATTATCAACCCCTGAAAGTACTCTCACAGTACCCAAATACAACAGTGGGAGCTTCAAAAGTTTTGAAAAAGCCTAAGAATCGTCGGATCTCGTCAACTAAAATGGTTTGGGTATTCATATTTGGAGGCCAAATTCGCAAACCCTAGAGAATCTCACTATTGGGTTGCTGACTTCAAACTTAGTGAAAGAAACACT